AGGCTGTATTTTGAAACAGGACCAGATACTGAACCACTAAATGATATGGCAGATCAGTCACCTGTCATCACAGTCACACTATGTCTTCAGTAGGACAGGCTCACCAACACTGTGGTGGGGTAGGGCTGGGAGGGCTCACCAACACTGTGGTGGGGTAGGGCTGGGAGGGCTCACCAACACTGTGGTGGGGTAGGGCTGGGAGGGCTCACCAACACTGTGGTGGGGTAGGGCTGGGAGGGCTCACCAACACTGTGGTGGGGTAGGGCTGGGAGGGCTCACCAACACTGTGGTGGGGTAGGGCTGGGAGGGCTCACCAACACTGTGGTGGGGTAGGGCTGGGAGGGCTCACCAACACTGTGGTGGGGTAGGGCTGGGAGGGCTCACCAACACTGTGGTGGGGTAGGGCTGGGAGGGCTCACCAACACTGTGGTGGGGTAGGGCTGGGAGGGCTCACCAACACTGTGGTGGGGTAGGGCTGGGAGGGCTCACCAACACTGTGGTGGGGTAGGGCTGGGAGGGCTCACCAACTCTGTGGTGGGGTAGGGCTGGGAGGGCTCACCAACACTGTGGTGGGGTAGGGCTGGGAGGGCTCACCAACTCTGTGGGAGAGTGGAGAATAGACAATCCACAGAGTTACAAAAATAACATTGGGTTCTGGGCACTCGTTCATATGATACATCATCTTGTGATGTGCTTTGCAAATATCTTATTTTGTTCACGTAATCAGCAGTTGAATGGTTGTTATTCATTATTGTGGTTATTGTTAGTGGTTATTGTTATATCGGTTATCGGTTATTGTTATATCGGTTATTGTTATATTGGTTATTGTTATATCGGTTATTGTTATATCGGTTATTGTTATATTGGTTATTGTTATATCGGTTATTGTTATATCGGTTATTGTTATATCGGTTATTGTTATATCGGTTATTGTTATATCGGTTATTGTTATATCGGTTATTGTTATATCGGTTATTGTAAGTATTGTGAAGCCCAGCCCTACTGTTTCCAAGTATTCCCACAAATCAAAAAATTGACCTATGTGATCGTGTCTCAATGTAATCAAGGTGTGAAATGATTGTTATTTTCAAATTCAATCTCTCTTTGGACTTAGTTGTGGTCAATTTATAGTATACAAATTCATTCACTGACAAAAAAATGTCACATGTGGAGTTTTATTCCATGTGAACCTGCAAATTCAATGTTTTTACATTATTGAATCTCATTACATGTGGGGTTGTTTTAAATGTGAAACGGCAAATGTTATTTTCACATGTGAAAATGCAATTCAACTTGTGAAAGTGAGATTTTCAGGTGAACATTTTTCACATGTGAAACTGCATATCCGATTTACACATGTGGACATTTTGAACATGTGAAACTGCAAATTTAGTAAGTGTAAGTGATGCTTCATGTTGTCTGGTCTATTATTATAATTATTATAATTTTGTTCCGGCCTCCCTACCATTTGCTCAGACAAAAATTGTCCCGCAGCTGAATAGTTGCCTACCCCTAGTCTATTTCAATCACATTGAAATGATTGACCTTGTCCCAAAATACGACCTTGTTCTAAAGCTCCATGAGTAAAGAATGAAAAGGTATGGGTATATGGTGCACACAAAGTAAAACTGATTGCCTGATAGGCTACTGTGCCTGTGCATGAGAGAAATTGGATTAATTAGGCCGAATTCATAGTCAGTGACAGTGATGCATGCATTAATTAGTAACACAAACACGTTGGTTTCTTGAGGGGGTGAAATGTTGAGAAAACATGCCCCTTTAAATGCCCTGAAAGGAAGTGGATTTGCTCCATTCAGGAGGACCTCGTGTTCATGATAGGCCATGCATGCCTTCCTTACAAATTGAACTGTTGGTTGTTTCCATGACTACGAAAACCCGCGCTGCACCAATGACTGATCTTGTGTTGGGCGACAGCCATTTTCGCTCTCGGGGGAATATAATATTGTACTGCGGTATTAAAACAAGGATTCTATTCTAGAAAGACACACGGGCATACAGGTTGGATAGCAATAATGTATATGGTGTGTTGCACAGTTTCCCGACCGTGCACTGCATTTACGGTTGGGGAAAACTGATTATCTTCTGTGAAGCGTTTGTGGAGCTGCGTATTGTATTGCGAGAGCTGGCTTGGGATGCTGTCGGAATAGATATCGAACTCATCCCATACTAGGCAACTGATCCAACAGCAGTGTTTGCGCTCTATGGACTGACTCTTCAAAAACAGGTGCATATAGTCTATGAATCATTTGTGGGGAAATATTTGCGCCTTTTCTTTCAGGGTCAAAAGAACACGCGGTGGCAATTATTGGTAAGTATATTTATTGTGGCAAAAGGGCACGAAGGAGGTAGGCTAAACGTTCTGTATCACACGTACTTAACTAGGCTACTGACTAATCACGCGCTGGAAAGTTATCTAATGATACATTCTTTTTGCACTGTTATTTTGTATCACTGTGCTCAAAGCTGACACAGTTGTAACGAGTTAAAATGTTGTAACATTAAGGGAAGCGTTGTTATAACTGTAGCATACGGTCATTCACGTGACGCATTGTCCCATTATACATGGGATTAAAGGGGTTCATTATGTTCAGAACAGTTGAAGCGATGTGACTTCAAATAATGAATTTTGAATGATCAAATAATAACACTGGTAGTACTGTTAAGTTGTAAACAAAGGGATTGTTATTATACCCTATCAAATGTTCATTTTAAAACGTGTTCATTTGTTATGTTCGCCCAGTGTTCTTCTGCATCAAAATAATCGAACTGCCTAAAGACTGGGTCATGCATTACATTAGACCTAGGTGATAAAGTGAAGTGACAGCTAGGCCTATGCTATAACAGTGAATCCAATTAAAATGTTTAAAATGTAAACTATGACTAGAACATGCCAGAGATGTCAAACATTGTTGCGTTCTATTTCTAATCTTCAACGATCAAGAATGAGTTGATTCCAGGTAAGATTCATATCATACATATATTATGGTATATGGTATCATACAGCACACTAGAATAACCAACATATTTTCTATGTTAAGCCCTATGAGAATAGAATACCAAGGTCATTGAATTAAACTACTATTATACTGTATACAGATGTATAGGATCAAATTAGACCAAACTTGAATTATAGCACTCACAATGTGTGAAGCTACTTCAACTCCCAAGTTGCATCCCAAATGGTACACTCTTCCCTTTGTAGTGCACATCTTTCGACCAGGGCCCATAGGGCTCTTGTCGAAAGTAGTGCACTATATAGGGAATATGTGAAGCATTATTGATTACCACAGAGTCATACCTTCCATTCGTAGGTTTGGCCATACAGTGTCCTATAACACAGGCACACTCAGAACTGGATACACATCAGCCTTTGACTACCAGATATCCAACTCCTCATAGTGTTGTCATATTCCTACACATGAAATGAAAACAATTTGTAGCTTTTTTTTATTATCATCAGGAAGTGATCATCACTGTTAATGATCAATAAGTCATATAAATGATTTCTCCCTTAGGGGCTGTGTGGAATGAAACAGCTGCCACTTGATAATATATACAGTACTGTAGCTCTCCCCTGGTACTTGCTGTCAGCCAGTTACTTTGAATAGTGTGTGTGTATAGATCAGGGGTGTAGATGGACAGGGCATTAGGGGAAAGAGCAATGTCATACGCCTGTGTGCTTATTTATGTATTTTTTTCCTCCGCCATTTTGAATGCCAGTAGGTTAATTTACCTTGGCTCGAGTAGTCGAGTAGAGAAAGTTAACCTACATTTCTTTGCTGTTTGAAGTCCAAACACAAATAATAATTCAATTTTTTAAAAGGGCAATGACGTTTCACATTGAGAATGTTATTCATTCATGCTGAATTCCCAAAGGTATAAACTGACAAATGCCTATACTGCTACAAAGAGCCATCCACTTGTATGGAGTCGCTGGTAGGCTAGCCTACTTCTTGGCTCTGTACCTGCTTATGCCTAAAATATCAGTGTGTCCTGTGTCGTAATGGTGTAGCTATCCTCGTCAGGAGAATATGAGTGATGTTGGTTTTATTGCACAGGTTTCTTTGGAACATGTTTGTGCTGACACCTTCAGTAATGACACATTCTGTGACCTCTTGGGATGAAGGGGGAGTTCCTCTTCCAGGAGACGTCTGTCATTGCCCCGCCATGTCCAGGCTTGTCGGTGCCACTGCCTGAAGGACTGTGTCCCAAATGGCACCCTATTCCCTACACAGTGCAAGCCTTTTCACCAGAGCCCTATGGCTATGTACCCTATTCCCTATGGGCCCCGTTCAAAAGTAGTGCACTACATAGGGAATAGGGTGCTGTTTGGGACACACACAAGATCTATCCAGGCATATTTCTATCCAGCATTGAGTTATTGGGGAGCACACTTACTTTGTGGACTGTGAGTGATACAGTATCCTTGCAATCATATTTCAAGTTGCAATACATTTAGATGTGACTTATAGATAACTGTAGGTTAGTGTCCTCACTGCCATGGAGACTATTTGGTTTAAAGCCATCAGTTTATACCTTTGGGAATTCAGTATGAATGAATAACATCCTCATTGTGAAACGTCATTGCTCTATTTTGAATTTTAATCATGATCGGTGTTTCAAACAGCAAATAAATGCCATCCGAGCCACGGCCTGTTCACCCCGCTACCGTCTAGAAGGCGTAGACAGTACAGGTGCATCAAAGCTGGCACCAAGACACTGATAAACAGCTTCTATCTCCAGGCCATCAGACTGTTAAATAGTCACCATTTCGCTGCACCTGCAATAGCATCTGCAAAATATGTGTACGCGACCAATAAAATTGTATTTTATTTGATGATTTGATACAGTGCTGGCCAACAGTCGCTTGAAAAGCTGTCAGCCTCCTGACATTTGTGTCACCTTTTTAGGGGTCTAACCTGTCTCCCTTTAGCCTGAACTGTGGTAGTCTCCCTGACGGATCGCCACTGTCATCAGTCATGAACGTCACTTGTAAAAATAGATCTGATGTAATACGGTCAGCCTTGAAGAAATACTGCATATCACCCACATATAAGTTTCCTTTTGGCTTGACAAGAAATTGCATTCCGGCATTCCTTTTAATTGCTTCATTTCCTCACTTTGTGTGTGTGTGCGTGTGTGTGTGTGTGTGTGCGTGTGTGTGTTTGTGTGTGTGTGCGTGTGTGTGTACGTGTGTGTGTATGTGTGTGTGTGTGGGTGTGTACATGAACTGTTGTGTGTGACTGTGTTGCCTCCGGAGGTTCAGCACCTGAATCTCAAGACCTTGAAATCCCTCTCTGTTTGTACCTGGGATACTATCTTTCACAGGTTCCAATGGTGTTCATTTACCAAAAATGCCCCATAACCTGCATAGCTCAAATGTTTGTATACCCACACAAATGTGTTCCTGTGTATATTCTGTGGTATGCTGTGTGTCACTTTTCCCCATAGAGAGCCCCAAGAGTAACTTTCCAGCCCCTAGACGTACATGTCTGCATCTGAAAATAGCTCAAACCGCAGCAGCGCTGCTTGGACAGGCAGGGGTTGACTCTGTCACGTCTTTTGCCTCCAGAAACCAGGATCACACTTGTCGGACCTTAACCCTGCAAGTCGATGCGGTGAGATCTGCTGTGCCGCCCGTCCAGAAAACAGATATAGGGAGAGGAGCTTCATAAAACATCACGGATGTGTTTTCATTCTAACACCTGGCGTGTCTCGCTCTTCATGTCTGGTGAGATATGTTTCTTCCTTCTCTTTGAGTTATGTATTAGATACATGCTGCTGCCTCATGGCAGGTTAGCTTGCCTGGCTGGTTGTTCGCGGCAGGTAGCCTAGCGGTTAGAGCAGTGGGCCAGTAACCGCAAGGTCGCTAGTTTGAATCCCCAAGCAGACAAGATGAAACATCTGCCTACGTGCTCTTGAGCAAGGCACTTCAACCTAATCGCTCCAGGGTCACCGTTGATAATGGCAGACCCTGGCTGTGACATTACTCGCCAAGGGTGTCTCAGGGGGAGTTGGGAAATGCAAAAAACACATTTCCAATTCACTCATGCGTATTAATATACATGTGAGATATAGGACAGCTATAAGCGCCCACCTAAATATAAATTTTTATCTCAGCTGAATGAGGAGGTGATAAATTGTATATTGTACCATTAAGTCAACACAGGGGGAAAAAAATAGTATGGAGTCTTCAACTCTCTTTCTTTGACCAATTAGAGTTATTAATAGTTTTTTTAAATGTATGAATTAGAATAAGCTACTAGTAATTATACTCGAGACTGTGAGAAGATTGGTGTGGTGTTATGGAATACGTAATGTAGGCTACTCACTGTACATGGCACGCTTCATTATGCTACATGGTACATGGCCTTGTACAGTCTTATATGATATAAGTATGAGTAGTCATGTTCAAGGTTTCCTTTGACCTCAAAATATGTCATTACAGATATGCCACGCTTCCGTAAATCAACTTTGTGTGACTGCTGAAGCAGTGGCTGACAAAACATGGTTACGTCCCAAATGGAATCAAAAGCAGTGGACTATATAGGAAATAGAGTTCCATTTGGGATGCCACCTCGGTTATGGATAATGGGACTCTTCACCTGGAAAGCAAAAGAGTCGCGAGGTCTGGGATGGTTTGACTGACAGGGTTGAGGTTGAGAGACCTTCGGAGAACTACCGTAGAAAGTGATGAGGGCTGAGCAGTGATGATACAGGCAGGAGAGGGGACATCATTCCATAGGGCAGGCTGGGTGTCTTCTAATGGGAAGGAGACCAGATAAGTGCAGGGTGAGTAGAGTTCATCCACTGATATAGTGTGATATATACTGAACAAAAATATAAACGCAACATGCAATTTCAACGATTTTACTGAGTTACAGTTCATATAAGGAAATCAGTCAATTGAAATAAATTAATTAGGCCCTAGTCTATGGATTTCACATGACTGGGTAGGGGCGCAGCCATGGGTGGGCCTGGGAGGGCATAGGCACACTCCCTGGGGAGCTGGCCCAGCCAATCAGAATGAGGTTTTCTCCACGAAAGGGCTTTATTACAGACATAAATACTCCTCAGTTTCATCAGCTGTCCGGGTGGCTGATCTCAGACGAACCCACAGCTGAAGAAGCCGGATGAGGAGGTCCTGGGCTGGCGTAGTTACACGTGGTCTGCGGTTGTGAGGCCGGTTGGATATACTGCCAAATTCTCTAAAATGACATTAGAGGCAGGTTATGGTAGAGAAATGAACATTTAATTATCTGGCAACAGCTCTGGTGGACATTCCTGCAGTCAGTATGCCAACTGCATGCTCCCTCAAAACTTGAGACATCTGTTGCATTGTGTTGTGTGACAAAACAGCACATTTTAGAGTGGCCTTTTATTGTCCCCAGCACAAGGTGCACCTGTGTAATGATCATGCTGTTTAATCAGCTTCATGATATGTCACACCTGTCAGATGGATGAATTATCTTGGCAAATGAGAAATGTTCACTAACAGGGATGTAAACAAATTTGTGCACAACATTTGAGTGAAATAAGCTTTTTGTGCGTTTGGAAAAGTTCTGGGATCTTTAATTTCAGCACAAGAAACTTGGGACCAACACTTTACATTGCGTTTATATTTTTGTTCAGTATAGTATGATATAGTGTGGTCTGGGCTTTAGCCCTCTGATGGTATAGTTTTGGGTTATAGCAGTGTACTTTGCCAGGTTTATATAGGGTTTGCATAACATTTTTCTCTTCGATGTTCAGTAAGGTATAGTGGATTAGTCAGTGCTTAGTTTACAGTATGGAGTGCTGCACAAGTCTGTAAAAGATAATCACTATTGACTTTCACAGTAATCATTTTTCCATTAAGTTTTCCATCTGTGGAAACTCTGCTCGCTCCACTGTTTGATTTTGGTCCTTTAGCACACGGTGTACACGACACAATAATTAAAAGGTGCAAAACATTAAATGGAGCTGCCGACAGATGCAGGCTTGCGTCAGGTGGAATGGCGGACTTATAACTCAAGTCCGTGAAACCACAAGAAGGAGCGCAAGGCTGTGTGAAAAAGGTGATTGCGCAATATGTATAAGATTGTCAATCAACAGCGGGCAGGAAAGAGTTCCTTATATGAGCATGGCAAAGCCTTTCAATACCTATTTTAATGCAGAATTCTGGTACCGATTATAAAGAGCTGGTGTTTCACATTGTAGGCATAATTATACTAAAAGTTAAACAAGACTCAAGTCCTGTATATCAGGGCAATATCTGACACTTATGCTTAATGTATGTATTTATAACTGCATAAAAGCTGGAAATCCATAATCCATCAGCAGATAGTTTTATTAAAGTAAATAGAGTATAGAAATAATATGGTAAAAATACATATAATAGCATTTAGCTTCCACCCTTCAGTGAATATTATCCTGTAGTTCATAGCCCTTGAATGCACTTTTGCATAACAATGAGTGCTATCCAGGAACAGGGACGAGTTCCATTAATTCCTGCACCATTAAAAAAGTCAGGAAGGCAGTCCTACAGTAATTCATAAGGTGGTGGACCATGTAGTCAGTGGCCTTAAAGATCAGAACCCTCCCTCCCAGGAGAAGGAGGCAGAGACTGGCAGCTAGCATCTCTCTCCAGACTATCTGGCAGCTAGCCTCTCTCTCTCTCCAGACTCTCTGGCAGCTAGCATCTCTATCTCCAGACTCTTTGGCAGCTAACCTCTCTCTCTCCAGACTCTCTGGCAGCTAGCCTCTCTCTCTCCAGACTCTATGGCAGCTAGTCTCTCTCTCCCCAGACTCTCTGGCAGCTAGCCTCTCTCTATTACCAGACTCTCTGGCAGCTAACCTCTCTCTCCCCAGACTCTCTGGCAGCTAGTCTTTCTCTCTCCCCAGACTCTCTGGCAGCTAGTCTCTCTCTCTCCCCAGACTCTCTGGCAGCTAGTCTCTCTCTCTCCCCAGACTCTATGGCAGCTAGCATCTCTCTCTCCAGACTCTATGGCAGCTAGCATCTCTCTCTCCAGACTCTATGGCAGCTAGCATCTCTCTCTCCAGACTCTCTGGCAGCTAGCCTCTCTCTCTCCAGACTCTCTGGCAGCTAGCATCTCTCTCCCCAGACTCTCTGGCAGCTAGCCTCTCTCTCTCTCCAGACTCTCTGGCAGCTAGCATCTCTCTCCCCAGACTCTATGGCAGCTAGCATCTCTCTCTCCAGACTCTCTGCCAGCTAGCCTCTCTCTCTCCAGACTCTCTGGCAGCTAGCATCTCTCTCTCCAGACTATCTGGCAGCTAGCATCTCTCTCCCCAGACTCTCTGGCAGCTAGCCTCTCTCTATCCCCAGACTCTCTGGCAGCTAACCTCTCTCTCTCCAGACTCTCTGCCAGCTAGCCTCTCTCTCTCCAGACTCTCTGGCAGCTAGTCTCTCTCTCCCCAGACTCTCTGCCAGCTAGCCTCTCTCTCTCCAGACTCTCTGCCAGCTAGCCTCTCTCTCCCCAGACTCTCTGCCAGCTAGCCTCTCTCTCTCCAGACTCTCTGCCAGCTAGCCTCTCTCTCCCCAGACTCTCTGGCAGCTAGTCTTTCTCTCTCCCCAGACTCTCTGGCAGCTAGCCTCTCTCTCTCCAGGCTGTGCTGGAGGGCTTGAATGACCGGGGTATTTTTAACTTTGTCTTAACTTTGTACCACCGTGAAGGAGTGACTTTTCTGTGACTGTACCGCTGTTTCCTGAAACATAGCTCATGTCTCATGTGTTTTTGGTTGTATTGTGAGGAAGTGTTTGGTATCTTCTGTGGTTGTTTTTTGAGGATTAGTGTTTTTGAATTGACTATTAAATGGGTCTTAGTGCATTATAATGTGTTTCATGTTTACTACTAAATTTGAACACATCTAGGCTCTAATCATTATATCTGTCAGAGATCTCATGAGCAAGCTGTTTGAAGCTCCCAATTTGAAACTGTTATCTGAGAGATGATCTTGTGTTAGAAGCCTTCTTAGAATACTCGTCTTTCTTAGCTTATTAGTTGATGATCAGCAGGGGATTTCGCCAAAGGTTAAACACCCAATTAACAGATGCTTCTCAGACCCCAGGGACTGGCCACTACTGGAAGGAATTTAGGGTGCGTACCAAATGGCCCCCTATTCCCTTTATAGTGCACTACTTTGGACTAGGGCCCATAGGGCTCTGGTCCAAAGTAGTGCACTATATAGGGAATAGGGTGCCATCTGGGACACGTCCTTAGCCGTGCTGCCCTGCTGCAGAGCGGAGGCGGCTGTGAATCTCCTTCCCAGGGAGATATTTGTTTGGTAACATTAAGGAGAGAATTCCGGCACCATGCCTGCTATGGGATGCTTGTGTATGCATTGCCTGGCTCCCACTTAACCCTGGTTGGCACTGTGTGCGAGGGGGTAGGAACCCAACCCACTACCCTCATTGAGACAGTCTGAGAGACACTGTAGCATTTTATTACTGCCTGCTGCCTGTCTTCATCTGACTCCTCTTCATACAGTATGTGTTAGAATGTGTAGAATATAGAGCTATTGACATGGATGTGTAGAATGTAGAGCTATTGACATGGATGTGTAGAATATAGAGCTATTGACATGGATGTGTAGAATGTAGAGCTATTGACATGGATGTGTAGAATGTAGAGCTATTGACATGGATGTGTAGAATATAGAGCTATTGACATGGATGTGTAGAATGTAGAGCTATTGACATGGATGTGTAGAATGTAGAGCTATTGACATGGATGTGCAGAATGTTGAGCTATTGACATGGATGTGTAGAATGTAGAGCTATTGACATGGATGTGTAGAATGTAGAGCTATTGACATGGCTGTGAGTGAGAGTGTATGTGGAAAATCTGCCAAGCTGGGAAACAGCCAATTGGAGCCAGTGCATTCCCCTTGAGGATCCATACTGAACGAGTCTTTGACGTTTTAAGGAATGCATTCTGCCAGTGCCTGCACAGCAAGAGCAGTGCAGGACTTTAACATTTACCCCCCATTGCTTGGAATGACAGGGTTCTGAAAATGCAAGGTTTTCTCCTGTGCTGAGTTCTGCATTATCCTTGTTGTACCTCTACCTACTGTAGGTAGGTGCTGTGGCAAAGAATGAAACCAGGTTAAATAGTAGTAGCAGAGGTTGGTGTAAAATAGGCGTATGCTCCATCGTCCTCTCACTCTCACAGGTACACACTTGGAGCGGTGCTGTCAAACTGTCATCTTGCCAGCTCACAATTTGTCAAGGTCGAGGTAAGGAGTAGACCAAGGCGCAGCGTGATGAACAAACATGACTTTAATTAGTTAAAGCGTCAAAACACAAAACAAAACACGACTCGTGACGTCCACGGTATCAATGACCGAACACGGAACAAAAACCCACAACCACAAAGGGAAAACATACAGTTTAAATATGGCTCCCAATCAGAGACAACCAGCCAACAGCTGACACTCGTTGCCTCTGATTGGGAGTCACTCAGGCAAACATAGAATACAACAAACTAGAATGAACACCAACATAGAAATACACACATAGAAATGAACACACCCTGGCTCAACATAAAGAGTCCCAGAGCCAGGGTGTGACAGTACCCCCCCCTAAAGGCGCGGACTGCGACCGCGCCTCAACTAAACAAACCAAGGGAGGGCTGGGCAGGCATACCTCCTCGGCGGCGGTTCTGGCTCCGGCCTTGACCACCACCCTCCAATACACCCCCCATAGTACCCCTGGTCCAGTCTGGCCCCGCCGGCTGGAGCAGGACTGGACTTAGGAGGAACGGGCCTTACCAGGCTGACGACGCGCACCCCTGGCTTGATGCGTGGAGGAGGAACGGGCCTTACCAGGCTGACGACTCGCACCCCTGGCTTGGTGCGTGGAGAAGGAACGGGCCTTACCAGGCTGACTACTCGCACCCCTGGCTTGGTGCGTGGAAGAGGGACGGGCCTTACCAGGCTGACTTCTCGCACCCCTGGCTTAGTGCGAGTGGCAGGAACAGGCCGGACCGGGCTAGCGACGCGCCACCGTAGGTTTGGGTGCGAGTGGCAGGAACAGGCCGGGTCGGGCTGGCGACGCGCACCGTTAGACTTGGTGCGGGTGGCAGGAACAGGCCGGACCGGGGCTGGCGACGCGCACCGTAGACTTGGTGCGGGTGGCAGGAACAGGCCGGGACCGGGCTGGCGACGCGCACCGTAGGTTTAGTGCGTGGAGCAGGGACAGGGCCGGGCTGGGCTGTCGACGCACACCGTAGGCTGGGTGCGTGGAGCAGGGACAGGCCGGGCTGGGCTGTCGACGCACACCGTAGGCTTGGTGCGTGGAGCAGGGACAGGCCGGGCTGGGCTGTCGACGCACACCGTAGGCTTGGTGCGTGGAGCAGGGACAGGCCGGGCTGGGCTGTCGACGCACACCGTAGGCTTGGTGCGTGGAGCAGGGACAGGCCGGGCTGGGCTGTCGACGCACACCGTAGGCTTGGTGCGTGGAGCAGGGACAGCCGGACTGGGCTGGCGACGCACACCGTAGGTTAGTGCGTGGAGCAGGACAGGCCGGGCTGGGGCTGTCGACGCACACCGTAGGCTTGGTGGCGTGGAGCAGGGACAGGCCGGGCTGGGCTGGCGACGCACACCGTAGTGCTTGGTGCGTGGAGCAGGGACAGGCCGAACCGGGCTGTGGAGACGGATAGGAGGCCTGGAGTGAAGAGCGGCCCCACCACCCGTCCTGGCTGAATGCCTACCCTCACACACTCTGTGTGAGGCATCCGCACAGGACGGTGAACCCCTGGCCTGGTTGGCCTTCTGGATCCGCCCCCTTTTCTCCTCCGTCAGCCCCGTCGTCCATGCCGTGTGCCCCCCCCTAAAAATTTTCTGGGGTTGCCTCACGACCGTCCGACGACGACCCTGATCACGCCGTAGCTCCTCTCTACGGCACGCCTCCACCGTCTCTTCTCCCGGCGCTTCCTCCCATGTCCAGCCCAAGAGCTGCCCCTGGACACGCTGCTTGGTCGTTGCATGGTGGGTTTTTCTGTCAAGGTCGAGGTAAGGAGTAGACCAAGGCGCAGCGTGATGAACAAACATGACTTTAATTAGTTAAAGCGTCAAAACACAAAACAAAACACGACTCGTGACGTCCACGGTATCAATGACCGAACACGGAACAAAAACCCACAACCACAAAGGGAAAACATACAGTTTAAATATGGCTCCCAATCAGAGACAACCAGCCAACAGCTGACACTCGTTGCCTCTGATTGGGAGTCACTCAGGCAAACATAGAATACAACAAACTAGAATGAACACCAACATAGAAATACACACATAGAAATGAACACACCCTGGCTCAACATAAAGAGTCCCAGAGCCAGGGTGTGACACAATTCAATATAACCTTTTCTCTTTCCCAACAACAATGTTCTTATAGTGACACGGAGTACCAAAACACATGGGAGCAGTTAAGTGAATTATCTCTGGTTCTTAACATATAATCCCCAGAAATGCCCTGTGTACTGTCCTCCAGAATTAATAAACAGTAGCTGAACAACACTTAAACTGGCCTGTCCTTCACTTAATGGGATTGTGGATCCAGATCCAGAAATCAATTTTTAGGTCGCATAAGACTTGTTTGTGTTCACATTCTTTGTTCACAAATATACTTTACATAAATAGCCTGAATCTAATTCAGTAATTCAGTAGGGAAGCAGAGATTTTGGATGCCTTTTTTCCAACGCTTTCTGCATTCTCTGTGCAGAGAGCAGTCTCTTCTCTCAGTCCTGCTGTAGCTCAGATGCTGTGTGATTTCAGCTGGGAGAGAAGCTTGTTGAAGATTAAGGTAGATTTTGGTTGGTTGAGAACCCCAGAGGCCTATCATAATCTGCACTTCTTCCAGCTCTCCAACTGCACTAGATTTAGACTAGACAGGTATTTTATCTAACAACCAACATCATCATCAAACAAGGCAACCCATTTACACTTTTACAACAACAGGTTCGTAATGTGTGTTCTTTGATAGCAGTTTTTGTGTATTTTGCGTAATAGGCTACTTTATATTATTATGGTTTGTTATGTTGCTTGCTGACTGTGCTGCCTATTCCAATCACACCAAGTGACAGTTTATGATGTGATTTATAGCCATGTTTATATATAGGCTCTGAACCATCTAGATGCATCTGTAGAAGAGCCTGTTCCTCTAGCTCGGTCCCAAATGGCACCCTATTCCCTATAGGGCTCTGGTCAAAAGTAGTGCACTATCAAGGGAATAGGGTGCCATTTGGGACACAGCCTCAGTGTGGAGCAGCTTGGCTCTGACTTCTGAAGGACAAGTGAAGTGCAGGTTGTTATACTACTGTATCTACACTGAACTAAAATATAAACGTGCAACAATTTCAAAGATTTTACTGAGTTACAGTTCATATAAGGAAATCAGTCAATTCACATGACTGGGAATACAGATATGCATCTGTTGGTCACAGATACCTTTAAAAAAAAGTAGGGGCGTGGATCAGAAAATCAGTCAGTATCTTGTGTGACCACCATTTGCCTCAAGCAGCATGACACATCTCTGTCAGAATGGTGTGTGTAGATGAGTGGAAGGAATCAAGCGCAGGATCCAGGATGACTTCAATAGTCTTTATAGTACGTTCAACACGTGAACAAAAATAGTCGCCAACCCAACCGGGTGGCGCAAAACAATTACGCACAAAACACAGTGCGTAAAACACAAGAAAAGCGCACGCAGTGCGAACTCTCGGGACAAGCCAAACAACGAGAGAAAATACCCTGACGAGGCAGTCTGACAATAAACAATCACGCATAACACCTGACCCAAACACACAAACTAAATAAGGGAAACAATTAAGACACAAATAAGGGACAGGTGTTATGAAACAGACAAAACCAACAGAACATGAAACATAGAACGGTGGCAGCTAGTACTCCGGAGACGACGACCGCCGAAGCCTGCCCGAACAAGGAAGAGGAGCAGCCTCGGCCGAAACCGTGACAGTACCCCCCCCCTTGACGCGCGGCTCCAGCCGTGCGCCGACCCGGAGCTCGGGGACGACCCGGACGACGCGGAGCAGGGCGCGCAGGATGACCCCGATGGAAATCGGTCAGTAGGGACTGGTCTAAGACGTCCCTCCTTGGCACCCAGCACCGCTCCTCCGGGCCGTACCCCTCCCACTCCACGAGATATTGAAGACCCCCCATCCGGCGTCTAGAATCCAGGATGGACCTCACGGTGTACGCCGGAGCCCCCTCGATGTCCAACGGGGGCGGAGGAGTCTCCTCAATCTCAAAGTCCTGGAGTGGACCAGCTACCACCGGCCTGAGGAGAGACACATGGAACGAGGGGTTAATATTTTTGTAATCAACAGGTAGTTCTAACCTATAACTCACCTCGTTCAATCTCCTCAGGACTTTAAATGGCCCCACAAACCGCCGACCCAGCTTCCGGCAGGGCAGGCGGAGGGGCAGGTTTCTGGTTGAGAGCCAGACTCGATCTCCAGGTGCGTACACTGGCCCCTCACTGCGGTGTAGGTCGGCGCTCGTCTTCTGTCGACGTATGGCACGCTGCAGATGGACGTGTGCAGCGTCCCACGTCTCCTCCGAGCGCCGCACCCACTCATCCACAGCGGGGGCCTCGATCTGGCTCTCATGCCATGGTGCCAGAACCGGCTGGTACCCTAATACACACTGAAAAGGGGTTAGTTGGGTGGAGGAGTGGCGAAGAGAGTTCTGTGCCATCTCGGCCCAGGGCACATATCTCGCCCACTCCTCCGGCCGGCCCTGACAGTATGACCTCAGAAACCTACCCACATCCTGGTTGACACGTTCAACCTGCCCATTACTCTCCGGGTGGTACCCCGAGGTAAGGCTTACCGAAACCCCCAACCGTTCCATAAATGCTCTCCACACCCTAGAGGTGAACTGGGGGCCTCGGTCAGACACTATATCCTCGGGTACCCCGTAATGCCGGAAGACATGGGTGAACAGAGCCTCAGCGGTCTGTAGGGCAGTGGGTAGACCCGGCATGGGAAGGAGACGACAGGCCTTAGAGAACCGATCCACAACGACCAGGATGGTAGTATTCCCCTGTGAGGGGGGGAGGTCGGTAACAAAATCCACCGAGAGGTGGGACCAGGGTCGTTGTGGAATAGGCAGGGGTTGTAACTTACCCCTGGGCAAATGTCTGGGCGCCTTACACTGGGCACACACCGAACAGGAGGAGACATAAATCCTCACATCCCTAGCTAACGTTGGCCACCAGTACTTCGTGCTAAGGCAGTGCACTGTCCGGCCGATACCCGGATGGCCAGAGGAGGGGGACGTATGAGCCCAACAAATGAGGCGATCGCGTACCTCGAGCGGAACGTACGTCCGACCCACAGGACACTGTGGAGGACTCGGGTCGGTGCGTAAACGCCCCGCTCGATCTCACCATCAACCTCCCACACCACCGGAGCAACCAGACAAGACTCCGGTAGTATGGGCGTGGACTCAACTGACCTCTCCTCTGCGTCATAACCGCCGAGACAGAGCATCTGCCTTCCCGTTCTGGGACCCAGGGATGTATGTGATCTTAAACACAAACCGGGCTTGGGGACCAGCCAAAGAAAGGCCCCCTGGCCCGAGGTCCCCCTCCTTGGAAAGGGGAAAAAAAGTCCATGTTAAAAAGGGCCGAGGTAAAGGTTTTAGCCCCCTCCCCCCCCACTCGGGGGCGAATAAAAAACGTTGGGGGGGCCCCCTTCCCCCCCTTAAACCTGGTTTAACCAAAACCCGGTTTAACCCCTTCCCTTTGGGGCTCCTTACGCAACGCCCCGGGGGTACTTCTTAAATACGCAAAAAACTGGAAAAGGGGAGAAACCCCTGGAAAACCGCTTTCCGGCCTTGGCTGTCCCCACCCCCCTACTGGAACCGGTAAGGAAGGAAAAAAAACCCGGGAAATTTTATGGCCAACACCCCCGGGGCCCGGGCCCCGAGGTTAAACAGGGGCCTTACCCCAAATTTTCTGCTAGTACCACCGGAAACGGGGGGACCGTTTCCCCCCTTTAAACCCCAGAGGGGACCTTAAAAGGGGCTCCAAACCTTTTTAAAAAATCTCGGCGCCCAGGGCTACATGCTTCAGCCGGGTAGACTACTACACCATAATGTCGTCGATGTACACCACTACTCCTGTCCCTGCATGTCCCGAAAATCTCATCGACGAGGATTGGAAGATTGGAGGGAGCATTCATCAACCCATATGGCATGACTAGATACTCGTAGTGTCCTCGAGTCGTGCAAACGCTTTCTCCCTTCATCGCCCGCCTCGAAGGCTTACCAAGTTATATGCGCATCCTAGATCCAATTTTTGTAAGAACTGCGCACGTGGCAGGACTCCCGTCATAGTCGCAATCAGCGGAGTGGATAGCTGTACGTCAACTGGATCCTGATTGAGACCCGCGGTATCAATACACGGGCCGCATACCTTCCATCCTTTTTCTTACAAAAAAGACCTTGAGGAAGCGGGTGAAACGGAGGGCGTATGTATCCCTGTCTCAGAGACCAGAGATGTATGTCCCATAGCCTTTCTCTCCTCTTGAGACACGGGATACACATGCTCCGCGGGAAGCTGCGTCCTTACTGGAATCTATCGCACAATCCCCCCGTCTATGACGGCAGCTGCGGCCGCCGAGTCTTACTGAACGCCGTGCCAAATCCTCATAACGCGGGGAATCGGCAGTGCTGGCATTAATTTCGGCCTCCTCCACCGGTCGCCCATATGGAAACACCCAGACATCCGCCCCTCACATCGAGCAACCACCTTTAAGAGCTTTCTCTCCGCCACCCTATAATAGGGTCATGATTCATCAACCAGGGAAGACCCGCACTACCGGATACGAAGGAGAGTCAAATCAGATAGAGCTGAATTCTCTCCTCATGACCCTCCTGCGCCGTCATCTGAATGGGTGCTGTGACTTCCCTAATCAACCCAGACCCTAACGGACGGCTATCTAGGGCATGGACGGGGAAAGGTTTATCCACTGGAAGGAGGGGAATCCCTAACTCTATACAGAACTGGCGATCTACAAAATTCCCAGCTGCGCCTGAATCTACCAGCGCCTTATGCTGGGAACGAGGTGCAACCTGTGGGAAACAAACAGGCAAGGTTAGGTGCACGACAGAAAGCTCTGGGTAAGCAGGGCGCCTACTCACCTGGGGGGACCCCCCAATGCGTGACCTGCCATCTCCCTCACTGGAGGACCCGCCCCAACACCTAGCCGCGGTGTGTCCTCCACGACCACAGTTGGTGCAAGGGCCAGGTCCCCTCGGGCTCCTCCTCCTCCGTTCCCTAGCGCCAGCACCTCCGAGCTCCATAGGGCTCGGCTCGGAGGTGCTGGAGAGTGGAATGGGCGAACCCCCCCCTCCGGGACGCCCACGGGTGGCGAGCAGGGTATCCAGCCGGATGGCCATGTCGACCAGCTGGTCGAACGTCAACGACGTGTCCCTGCACGCCAACTCTCGCTGGACGTCCTCCCGGAGGCTGCAGCGGAAATGGTCGATAAGGGCCCGCTCATTCCACCCTGCATCAGCCGCTAGGGTCCGGAACTCTAAGGCAAAGTCCTGGGCGCTCCTCATCCCCTGTCGGAGGTAGAACAGACGTTCCCCCGCCGCCTTCCCTTCCGGTGGATGGTCGAACACAGCACGGAAGCGGCGGGAGAACTCCGCATAGTTCGTAGTAGCGGCGTCCATTCTCCTCCACTCGGCGTTGGCCCACTCCAACGCCTTGCCGGTGAGACAGGAGATGAGGGCTGAGACGCTCTCGTGTCCCGAGGGCGCCGGGTGGACGGTGGCGAGGTAGAGCTCCACCTGCAGCAGGAATCCTTGACACCCGGCAGTGGAGCCGTCGTACGCCCTCGGGAGCGAGAGCCGAATCCTACTAGGTTCCGGAGATGAGACGGGGGGGCTGGCCGATGGGGCTGGTTCGGTTCCTGGAGGTGTGGGAACCCCGCTGGTCTCCCATCGGTGCAGAGTATTCATCACCCCCTCCAGGGCATGACAGACCTGGTTGATGCGGTCCTCCTGACCACGAAGACGTTCAGCCATCTCGGCCGTCGGCGCGGTCGCTCCTGCTGATTCCATGGTGGTGATGCGTGATTCTGTCAGAATGGTGTGTGTAGATGAGTGGAAGGAATCAAGCGCAGGATCCAGGATGACTTCAATAGTCTTTATAGTACGTTCAACACGTGAACAAAAATAGTCGCCAACCCAACCGGGTGGCGCAAAACAATTACGCACAAAACACAGTGCGTAAAACACAAGAAAAGCGCACGCAGTGCGAACTCTCGGGACAAGCCAAACAACGAGAGAAAATACCCTGACGAGGCAGTCTGACAATAAACAATCACGCATAACACCTGACCCAAACACACGAACTAAATAAGGGAAACAATTAAGACACAAATAAGGGACAGGTGTTATGAAACAGACAAAACCAACAGAACATGAAACATAGAACGGTGGCAGCTAGTACTCCGGAGACGACGACCGCCGAAGCCTGCCCGAACAAGGAAGAGGAGCAGCCTCGGCCGAAACCGTGACAATCTCCTTCACATAGAGTTGATCAGGCTGTTGATTGTGGCCTGTGGAATGTTGTCCTACTCCTCTTCAATGGCTGTGCGAAGTTGCTAGATATTGGCGGGAACTGGAACACGCTGTCGTACATGTCGATCCAGAGCATCCCAAACATGCACAATGGGTGACATGTCTGGTGAGTATGCAGGCCATGGAAGAACTGGGACATTTTCAGCTTCCATGAATTGTGTACAGATCCTTGCGACATGGGGCCGTGCATTATTATGCTGAAACACGAGGTGATGGTGGTGGATGAATGGCACAACAATGGGCCTCAGGATCTCATCACGGTATTTCTGTGCATTCAAATTGCCATCAATAAAATGCAATTGTGTTTGTTGTAGGTACAGTAGGGAAAAAAAGTATTTAGTCAGCCACCAATTGTGCAAGTTCTCCCACTTAAAAAGATGAGAGAGGCCTGTAATTTCCATCATAGGTACACGTCAACTATGACAGACAAATTGAGAATTTTTTTTCCAGAAAATCACATTGTAGGATTTTTAATGAATTTATTTGCAAATGATGGTGGAAAATAAGTATTTGGTCACCTACAAACAAGCAAGATTTCTGGATCTCACAGACCTGTAACTTCTTCTTTAAGAGGCTCCTCTGTCCTCCACTCGTTACCTGTATTAATGGCACCTGTTTGAACTTGTTATCAGTATAAAAGACACCTGTCCACTACCTCAAACAGTCACACTCCAAACTCCACTATGGCCAAGACCAAAGAGCTGTCAAAGGACACCAGAAACAAAATTGTAGACCTGCACCAGGCTGGGAAGACTGAACCTGCAATAGGTAAGCAGCTTGGTTTGAAGAAATCAACTGTGGGAGCAATTATTAGGAAATGGAAGACATACAAGACCACTGATAATCTCCCTCGATCTGGGGCTCCACGCAAGTTCTCACCCCGTGGGGTCAAAATGATCACAAGAATGGTGAGCAAAAATCCCAGAACCACACAGGGGGACCTAGTGAATGACCTGCAGAGAGCTGGGACCAAAGTAACAAAGCCTACCATCAGTAACACACTACGCCGCCAGGGACTCAAATCCTGCAGTGCCAGACGTGTCCCCCTGCTTAAGCCAGTACATGTCCAGGCCCGTCTGAAGTTTGCTAGAGTGCATTTGGATGATCCAGAAGAGGATTGGGAGAATGTCATATGGTCAGATGAAACCAAAATATAACTTTTAGGTAAAAACTCAACTCGTCGTGTTTGGAGGACAAAGAATGCTGAGTTGCACCATACCTACTGTGAAGCATGGGGGTGGAAACATCATGCTTTGGGGCTGTTTTTCTGCAAAGGGACCAGGACGACTGATCCGTGTAAAGGAAATAATGAATGGGGCCATGTATCGTGAGATTTTGAGTGAAAACCTCCTTCCATCAGCAAGGGCATTGAAGATGAAACGTGGCTGGGTCTTTCAGCATGACAATGATCCCAAACACACCGCCCGGGCAACGAAGGAGAGGCTTCGTAAGAAGCATTTCAAGGTCCTGGAGTGGCCTAGCCAGTCTCCAGATCTCAACCCCATAGAAAATCTTTGGAGGGAGTTGAAAGTCCGTGTTGCCCAGCGACAGCCCCAAAACATCACTGCTCTAGAGGAGATCTGCATGGAGGAATGGGCCAAAATACCAGCAACAGTGTGTGAAAACCTTGTGAAGACTTACAGAAAACGTTTGACCTGTGTCATTGCCAACAAAGGGTATATAACAAAGTATTGAGAAACTTTTGTCATTGACCAAATACTTATTTTCCACCATCATTTGCAAATAAATTCATTAAAAATCCTACTATGTGATTTTCTGGAATTTTATTTCTCATTTTGTCTGTCATAGTTGACATGTACCTATGATGAAAATTACAGGCCTCTCTCATCTTTTTAAGTGGGAGAACTTGCACAATTGGTGGCTGACTAAATACTTTTTTTCCCCCACTGTAGCTTATGCCTGCCCATACCATAACCCACCGCAACCATGGGGCACTCTGTTCACAACGTTGACATCAGCAAACCGCGCGCCCACACAACGCCATACTCAATGTCTGCCATCTGCCCAGTACAGTTGAAACTGGGATTCATCCGTGAAGAGCACACTTCTCCAGTGTGCCAGTGGCCATCGAAGGTGAGCATTTGCCCACTGAAGTCGGATACGACGCCGAACTGCAGTCAGGTCAAGACCCTGGTGAGGACGAGGAGCACGCAGATGAGCTTCCCTGAAATGGTTTCTGACAGTTTGTGCATAAATTCTTCGGTTGTGCAAACCCACAGTTTCATCAGCTGTCCGGGTGGTTGGTCTCAGACAATCCCACAGGTGAAGAAGCCTGATGTGGAGGTCCTGGGATGGTGTGGTTACACATGGTCTCTAAAACGACATTGGAAGCGGTTTATGGTACAGAAATGAACATTTAATTCCCTGGCAACAGCTCTGGTGGACATTCCTTCAGTCAGCATGCCAATTACACACTCCCTCAAAACTTGAGACATCTGTGGTATTGTGTTGTGTGACAAAACGGCACATTTTAGAGTGGCCTTTTATTGTCCCCAGCACAAGGTGCACCTTTGTAGTGATCATGCTGTTTAATCAGCTTCTTGAGATGTCACACCTCTCAGGTGGATGGATTATCTTGGCAAAGGAGAAATGCTCACTAACAGGGATGTTAACAAAGGTGTTTGATGGGGTTGAGGTCAGGGCCCTGTGCAGGCCAGTCAAGTTCTTCCACACCAATCTCAACAAACCATTTCTGTATGGACCTCGCTTTGTGCACAGGGGCATTGTCATGTTGAAACAGGAAAGGGCCTTCCCCAAACTGTTGCCACAAAGTTAGAAGCACAGAATTGTCTAGAATGTAATTGTATGCTGTAGCGTTAAGATTTCCTTCAGTGAAACTAAGGGGCCTAGCCCGAACCATGAAAATCAGCCCCAGACAAATTATTCCTCCTCTACCAAACTTTACAGTTGGCACTATGCGTTGGGGCAGGTAGCGTTCTCCTGGCATCCGCCAAACCCAGATTTGTCCGTCAGACTGCCAGATGGTGAAGAGTGATTAATCACTCCAGAGAATGTGTTTCCACTGCTCCAGAGTCCAATGGCGGCAAGCTTTACACCACTCCAGCCGACACTTGGCATTGCGCATGGTGATCTTATGCTTGTGTGCGGCTGCTCGGCCATGGAAACCCATTTCATGAAGCTCCCGACGAACAGTTATTGTGCTGACGTTGCTTCCAGAGGCAGTTTGGAACTTGGTAGTGAGTGTTGCAACCGAGGACAGATAATTTTTACGCGCTACGTGCTTCAGCACTCGGCGGTCCCTTTCTGTGAGCTTGTGTGGCCTACCATTTTTTTGTATGTGGCTGCTATGAAAGTCAACTGTTTGAGTGTGATCAGGGTTGTATTCATTCCGCCGATTCTGTTGAAAAACGTTTCTTAAATGGAAGCAAAAGGAACAAAACGGGGATAAACATACCTGAATTTGTCCAATAGAAACTCTCGTTTGCAACTGTTCGACTAATGATTACACATAGGTCAGCTAGATGCAGGCAAGAGTGTTCAAGGCGGTATTGAATGTGTCACTGTCTGTCCATGTGTCACTGTCTTTCACCTTCAATCTTTCTCTCGACCTGTGTGCACCTACGTTGAATTCATAGGTTGTAGCAACCTCATGATGGGTATAGGTACAATTTTAGTATCATGTAGTAGCCTAAACCTATCGACGTTAAACTGGGTGAATGGAATATGAATGACAGTCATCCAATATGCTGTAATAGAAATAAGGCCATGCGCATTTAAAAAATGTATCGTCCTCCCTCATCTTAAACGGCACTGACCGCCACTGATTAGGATGGGGATATTACTAAAACAACCATATACTGTAGTAAGTAGCTATCAATCTGTGTACCATTTTATGGATGTCTGAAATTCTCATCTCTGTTAGGGCCAATGGGTAAATACATGGTTTATTGTCCTGAATGGCCACTCTGCATTGAGCAAATGTTAGTTGTTCGTGACTGGTAACCAACTTCCTATAGACATATTATACAAATGATAACGGTATTTTAAGCAACTTGCTGGAAAGAGCAGAGAAATCCCCTCCTGGAACTCCTCATTGTCATGCCTGTAGAGATAGTAGTATGTTGACTGTACTGTGAGGGAAAAAAATATTTGATCCCCTGCTGATTTTGTACAATTGCCCACTGACAAAGAAATTATCAGTCTATAATTTTAATGGTAGGTTTATTTGAACAGTGAGAGACAGAATAACAACAAAAAAATCCAGAAAAACGCATGTCAAAAATGTTATAAATTGATTTGCATTTTAATGATGGAAATAAGTATTTGACACCCTCTCAATCAGAAAGATTTCTGGCTCCTATGATTCAGAGGAAAACTGGGTGAAAGTGTTGTGGTCAGATGAGACCAAAATCAAGCTCTTTGGCATCAACTCAACTCGCCGTGTTTGGAGGAGGAGGAATGCTGCCTATGACCCCAAGAACACCATCCCCACTGTCAAACATGGAGGTGGAAACATTATGCTTTGGGGTTTTTTTTCTGCTAAGGGGACAGGACACCTTCAACGCATCAAAGGGACGATGGACGGGCCATGTACCGTCAAATCTTGGGTGAGAATCTCGTTCCCTCAGCCAGGGCATTGAAAATGGGTCGTGGATGGGTATTCCAGCATGACAATGACCCAAAACACATGGCCAAGGCAACAAAGGAGTGGCTCAAGAAGAAGCACATTAAGGTCCTGGAGTGGCCTAGCCAGTCTCCAGACCTTAATCCCATAGAAAATCTGTGGAGGGAGCTGAAGGTTCGAGTTGCCAAACGTCAGCCTCGAAACCTTAATGACTTGGAGAAGATCTGCAAAGAGGAGTGGGACAAAATCCCTTCTGAGATGTGTGCAAACCTGGTGGCCAACTACAAGAAAGGTCTGACCTCTGTGATTGCCAACAAGGGTTTTGCCACCAAGTACTAAGTAATGTTTTGCAGAGGGGTGAAATACTTATTTCCCTCATTAAAATGCAAATCAATTTATAACATTTTTGACATGCGTTTTTCTGGATTTTGTTGTTGTTATTCTGTCTCTCACTGTTCAAATAAACCTACCATTAAAATTATAGACTGATCATGTCTTTGTCAATGGGCAAACGTACAAAATCAGCAGGGGATCAAATACTTTTTTCCCTCACTGTATACCATGTTGGAACCATAGAAATAGAACCAATCTAGGCATTCTAATTCTAATCATTCTAGTCATTCTAATCATACAGTGCCTTTCAAAAGTATTCTTCCCCCTTGCCATCCCCCTTGGCGTTTTTCCTATTTTGTTGCATTACAACCTGTAATTTAAATGGATTTGTATTTGGATTTCTTGTAATGGACATACACAAAATAGTCCAAATTGGTGAAGTGAAATGAAAAAAAATATTTAAAATAAAAAACGGAAAAGTGGTGCGTGCATATGTATTCACCCCCTTTGCTATGAAGCCCCTAAATAAGATCTGGTGCAACCAATTACCTTCAGAAGTCACATAATTTGTTAAATAAAGTCCACCTGTGTGCAATCTAAGTGTCACATGATCTGTCACATGATCTCAGTATATATACACCTGTTCTGAAAGGCCCCAGAGTCTGCAACACCACTAAGCAAGGGGCACCACCAAGCAAGCGGCACCATGAAGACCAAGGAGCTCTCCAAACAGGTCAGGGACAAAGTTGTGGAGAAGTACAGATCAGGGTTGGGTTATAAAAAAACATCAGAAACTTTGAACATCCCACGGAGCACCATTAAATCCGTTATTAAAAAATGGAAAGAATATGCCACCACAACAAACCTGCCAAGAGAGGGCCGCCCACCAAAACTCACGGACCAGGCAAGGAGGGCATTAATCAGAGAGGCAACAAAGAGCCCAAAGATAACCCTGAAGGAGATGCAAAGCTCCACAGCGGAGATTGGAGTATCGGTCCATAGGACCACTTTAAGCCATACACTCCACAGAGCTGGGCTTTACAGAAGAGTGGCCAGAAAAAAGCCATTGCTTAAAGAAAAAAATAAGCGAACACATTTTGTTTTCGGCAAAAGGCATGTGGGAGACTCCCCAAACATATGGAAGAAGGTACTCTGGTCAGATGAGACTAAAATTGAGCTTTTTGGCCATCAAGGAAAACGCTATGTCTGGCGCAAAACCAACACCTCTCATCACCCCGAGAACACCATCCCCACAGTGAAGCATGGTGGTGGCAGCATCATGCTGTGGGGATGTTTTTCATCGGCAGGGACTGGGAAACTGGTCAGAATTGAAGGAATGATGGATGGCGCTAAATAAAGGGAAAGTCTTGAGGGAAACCTGTTTCAGTCTTCCAGAGATTTGAGACTGGGACAGAGGTTCACCTTCCAGCAGGACATTGACCCTAAGCATACTGCTAAAGCAACACTCGAGTGGTTTAAGGGGAAACATTTAAATGTATTGGAATGGCCTAGTCAAAGCCCAGACCTCAATCAAATTGAGAATCTGTGGTATGACTTAAACATTGCTGTACACCAGCGGAACCCATCCAACTTGAAGGAGCTGGAGCAGTTTTGCCTTGAAGAAAGGGCAAAAAACCCAGTGGCTAGATGTGCCAAGCTTATAGAGACATACCCCAAGAGACTTGCAGCTATAATTGCTGCAAAAGGTTGCTCTACAAAGTTGTGATGAGGTGTGAATGAAGGAGTCAGGCGCAGGAGGTTAAACACCGAAGTCCAGAGTTTATACCATTTACATAAATAAAACGCACAAAGCATCAAAACGAAACTATCACAAGGGAAATATTCCACCTTGGCAATAACAAATGGAAGATTAGCTCAATCGAGCTACTCGCTCTCACAATGAAACAATCACTCACAAAGACAAGGGGAACAGAGGGAACACTTATACACATACTACTTAGGGGAATGAGCAGCAGGTGTGTGTGATTGACAAGACAAGACATGACAAGTGGAGTGATGAGAATGGGATCGGAAGTAGCTAGTAAGCCGGTGATGACGAACGCCGAAACCTGCCCGAACAAGGAGGGGAGGCAGCCTTGGCGGAAGTCGTGACAGTACCCCCCCCCCTTGACGCGTGGCCAGGAGGACGCGGAGCAGGGCGAGTCGGGTGACGACAGTGGAAATCCCTCAACAGGGAGGGATCGAGGATGTCCCTCCTTGGGACCCAGCACCGTTCCTCCGGACCGTACCCCTCCCACTCCACGAGATACTGAAGGCCCGACGCCTCGAATCCAGTATGGGATCGACCGAGTATGCCGGGGCCCCCTCGATGTCCAGAGGAGGTGGAGGAACCTCCCGCTCCTCAGACTACTGGAGCGGACCAGCTACCACCGGCCTGAGGAGAGACACATGAAACGAGGGGTTAATACGGTAATCAGGGGGGAGTAACAACCTGTATGTAACCTCGTTTATCCTCCTCAGGACATTACACGGCCCCAAATACCGCGGGCTCAGCTTCCGGCAGGGCAGGCGGAGGGGTAGATTCTGGGTTAAGAGCCAGACCCGATCCCCCGGTATGAAAACCGGGGCCTTCTGCGGTGGCGGTCAGCGTTCGCCTTCTGACGACGCACGGCGCGCTGGAGGCGAACGTGGGCAGCATCCCAAGTCTCCTCCGCCCGCCGAAACCAGTCATCCACCGCAGGAGCTGGCTCTGGTGCCACGGTGCCAGGACCAGTTGGTAACCCAAAACACATTGGAAGGGTGTTCGGTTAGTGGAGGAGTGGCGGAGAGAGTTCTGAGCGTATTATGCCCATGGCAGGAACATCGACCACTCCCCCGGCCGGTCCTGACAGTAGGTCCGCAGGAACCTACCCACATCTTGATTCACCGTTTCCACCTGCCCATTACTCTTGGGGTGAAATCCAGAGGTCAGGCTGACCGAGACCCCCAGACGTTCCATGAGCGCCTTCCAGACTCTAGACGTGAACTGGGGACCTCGGTCGGACACGATATCCTCTGGTACCCCGTAGTGCCGGAAGACGTGAGTAAACAGAGTCTCCGCAGTTTGTAGGGCCGTGGAGAGAGCGGGCAGAGTTAGGAGGCGGCAGGACTTAGAAAAGCGATCCACAATGACCAGGATAGTGGTGTTACCTTGGGAGAAGGGAAGATCAGTAAGAAAATCAATACTAAGGTGAGACCATGGTCGTTATGAAACTGGTAAAGGTTGTAGCTTACCCGCTGGGAGGTGCCTAGGTGCCTTACTCTGGGCGCACACTGAGCAGGAGGAAACATACACCCTCACGTCCTTAGCTAAGTTAGGCCACCAGTACTTCTCGGTCAGGCAGCGCATTGTACGATACCTGGATGACCAGAGGAGGGTGACGTGTGTGCCCAGTAGATCAGACGATCACAGAAAAGCGCAGGCATGTACTGCAGCCCAGCTGGACACTGCGGTGGAGATGGATCTGTGCGTAATGCCTGCGCTATATCTGTGTCCATCGCCCATACTACCGGCGCCACAATGCATGAGGCCGGGAGTATGGGGGTGTTGTCTCTGGGCCTCTCCTCTGTGTCATACAGCCGAGACAGTGCGTCTGCCTTCACATTCTTCGTACCCGGAATGTATGAGAGTGTGAAATCAAACCGGGTGAAGAAGAGGGCCCACCTGGCCTGGCGAGGTTTCAGCCTCGTCGCTGCCCGAATGTACTCCAGGTTATGGTGGTCTGTCCAGACGAGGAAAGGGTGTTTCACCCCTTCAAGCCAATGCCTCCACACCGTCAAAGCTCGGACAACAGCCAGCAGCTCCCGATCACCAACGCCGTAGTTCTGCTCCGCCGAGCTGAGCTTCTTCGAAAAGAATGCACAGGGGCAGAGCTTGGGTGGCGTGCCCGAGCATTGGGACAAGACAGCGCCTATCCCTACCTCGGACGCATCCACCTCCACTACGAACGGTAGTGATGGATCGGGGTGAGCCAGTACCGGGGCGGAGGTGAACAGACCCCGCAATCTACTGAAGGCCAAATCAGCCTCAGCAGACCAGCGGCGCCGGGACGGCCCACCCTTCAACAAGGAGGTAATGGGAGCTGCGACCTTGCCAAAGCCCCGAATAAACCTCCGATAGTAGTTGGCAAAGCCAAGGAAGCACTACACCTCCTTCACCGTGGTTGGAGTCGGCCAATTACGCACGGCTGAAATGCGATCTCCCTCCATCTCCACACCTGTGGTAGTAATGCGGTATCCGAGGAAGGAGATTGACTGCTGGAAAAACTCACACTTCTCTGCCTTGGCATAAAGATCATTTTCCAGCAGTCGGACCAGTACCTTGCGAACCAGGGACACATGCTTGGCGCGCGTAGAGGAATACACCAGGATGTCATCGATGTAGACCACCACACCGCGACCAAGCACGTCCCGAAACACCTCGTTCACAAAGGACTGGAAAACGGATGGAGCATTCATCAAACCGTAGGGCATCACCAGGTATTCATAATGCCCCGAGGTATTCATAATCCTCCTGCGCTCTCTCGACCGGCGGCTCCCCCCAGCTCCATCTGCTCGGGGTCAGAGTCGTCCGGAGTGGGAACGGGCAGACCCCTACCAGGACGTCCTCTGGCTGCTAGCAGATTGTCCAGCCGGATGGCCATGTCCACCAGTTGGGAGAACAATAGCATGGCATCACGGCAGGCTAGCTCCCATCGGACATCCTCCCTTAGGTGGCACTGGAAATGGTCGATCAGGGCCCGCTCGTTCCACCCGGACCCCGCTGCCAGCATCCGGAACTCCAGCGCGTAGTCCTGTGCGGTCCTTGTCCCCTGCCTCAGATGGACCAGTCGTTCGCCCGCCTCTCGACCCTCAGGCGGGTGATCGAAAACGGCCCGAAAGAGGCGAGCAAACTCCCTGTAGTCCTCCAACGCGTCACCTCCCTCGTTCCACACCGCGTTGGCCCACTCCAGGGCTCTCCCACAAAGGCAGGAAACGAGGACAGATACCTTCTCCCGCTCCAGTGGCGCCGGCCTGATGCTGGAGAAATACAACTCTAGTTGGAGCAGAAATCCCTTACATCGCACTGCCGTCCCAGTGGCCGGGATATCTGGATCCCTCCAGGGGCTGGGGTGTAGGTGGCTGGATCCGGTTGACCAGCTGGTCTCGATAGATCAGGTCCTCTCTTCTCCAGGCGTTGTACTACCTGAAGAACCCGATCCATCGCTCCCCCCAAGCTGGCCAGCATCGAGGAATGCTCCTGGACCCTTGCCACAACTCCAGGCATGCGGTCTTCTCCTGCGGACTCCATTCAGTGGGTGAGTGATTCTGTGATGAGGTGTGAATGAAGGAGTCAAGCGCAGGAGGTAAAACACCAAAGTCCAGAGTTTATTCCATTTACATAAATAAAACGCACCAAGCGTCAAAACGAAATTATCACAAGGGAAATATTCCACCTTGGCAATAACAAATGGAAGAGTAGCTCAACCGAGCTACTCGCTCTCACAATGAAACAATCACTCACAAAGACAAGAGGAACAGAGGGAACACATATACACATACTAATTAGGGGAATGAGCACCAGGTGTGTGTGATTGACAAGACAAGACATGACAAGTGGAGTGATGAGAATGGGATCGGCAGTAGCTAGTAAGCCGGTGACGACAAACGCCGAAACCTGCTCGAACAAGGTATTGACTTTGGGGGGGTGAATAGTTATGCACGCTCAAGTTTTCTGTTTTTTTGTCTTATTTGTTTCACAATAAAACATATTTTGCATCTTCAAAGTGGTAGGCATGTTGTGTAAATCAAATTATACAAACCCCAAAAAAATCAATTCTAATTCCAGGTTGTAAGCAACAAAATAGGAAGAATGCCAAGGGGGGTGATGTCACACCCTGGCTCTGGGGACTCTATATGTTGAGCCAGGGTGTGTATATTCTATGTGTTTTTTGTTTCTATGTTCACAGTCTAGGATTGTATTTCTGTGTTGGCCAGAGTGGTTCCCAATCAGAGGCAACGAGTGTCAGCTGTTGCTGGTTGTCTCTGATTGGGAGCCATATTTATACAGGCTGTTTTCCCACAATGGTTGTGGGATCTTGTTCCAGTTGGTTTTGTGTTTGTACCGTGGACTTCACGTATCGTTTATTGTTTTGTTTATTGTGTGTACACTTAATTAAATAAGATGTACAAATCTCACGCTGCGCCTTGGTCTACTCAATTCGACGATCGTGGCAGAAGATCCCACCATACCAGGACCAAGCAGCGTGTCCAGGAGCAGGCAGCCTGGACATGGGAGGAGATATTGGACGGAAAGGGTCCTGGACTTGGAAGGAGATACAGGCCGGGATGGATCGGCATCCGTGGGAAGAGACGGTGGAGGCGCGCCGTAGAGAGGAGCAGCGGCGCCAAACGGGTCAACGTCGGACAGGCGAGAGGCAACCCCAAATAAATTTTAGGGGGGGGGCACATGGCATGGACGACGGGGCTGCTGGAGGCAGATAAGGGGCGAGTTCAGAAGGCCACCAGGTTACGGGAGCCATTGGTGAGAAGAGGGAAGGAAGATGTAGAGGCACGGCGAGAGGTACTGAGGTGTATTGCCAGTCCGGTCCGGCCCGTTCCTGATCCCCGTTTAAGGCCAGTGGTGTGTGTTCCCAGTACGGTCTGTTCCTGTCCCTCGCACCAAGCATACGGTGCGCGTCGCCAGCCCAGCCCGGCCTGTTCCTGCCCCTCGCACCAAGCCTACGGTGCGCGTCGCCAGCCCGGCCTGGCCTGTTCCTGCCACTCGCACCAAGCCTACGGTGCGCGTCGCCAGCCCGGCCCGGCCTGTTCCTGCCACTCGCACCAAGCCTACGGTGCGCGTCGCCAGCCCGGCCCGGCCTGTTCCTGCCACTCGCACCAAGCCTACGGTGTGCGTCGCCAGCCCGGCCCGGCCTGTTCCTGCCACTCGCACCAAGCCTACGGTGCGCGTCGCCAGCCCGGCCCGGCCTGTTCCTGCCACTCGCACCAAGCCTACGGTGCGCGTCGCCAGCCCGGCCCGGCCTGTTCCTGCCACTCGCCCACCAAGCCTACGGTGCGCGTCGCCAGCCCGGCCCGGCCTGTTCCTGCCACTCGCACCAAGCCTACGGTGCGCGTCGCCAGCCCGGCCCGGCCTGTTCCTGCCACCCGCACCAAGCCAGGGGTGCGAGTCGCCAGCCCGGCCCGGCCTGTTCCTGCTCCACGCACCAAGCCAGGGGTGCGAGTCGTCAGCCTGGTAAGGCCCGTTCCTGCTCCACGCACCAAGCCAGGGGTGCGAGTCGTCAGCCCGGTACGGCCCGTTCCTGCTCCATGCACCAAGCCAGGGGTGCGCATCGTCAGCCCGGTACGGCCCGTTCCTGCTCCACGCACCAAGCCAGGGGTGCGTATCGTCAGCCCGGTCCGGCCCGTTGCTGCTCCACGCACCAAACCAGGGGTGCGCATCGTCAGCCCGGTCCGGCCCGTTCCTGCTCCACGCACCAAGCCAGGGGTGCACATCGTCAGCCCGGTCCGGCCCGTTGCTGCTCCACGCACCAAGCCAGGGGTGCGCATCGTCAGCCCGGTCCGGCCCGTTCCTGCTCCACGCACCAAGCCAGGGGTGCGCGTCGTCAGTCCGGCACAACCCGTGCCTGCTCCACGCACCAAGCCAGGGGTGCGCGTCGTCAGTCCGGCACAACCCGTGCCTGGGTCACCGGTGCCTGATCAGGTACCGGTCAGCTGCTCCACACCGGAGCTTAAGCAATCCGCTCCTTCGATGTCCAGTCCAGCTCCAGCCAGCGGGGCCAGACCGGACCAGGGCCGTTACGGGGGGATTATTGGAGGGTGGTGGGCAAGCCCGGAGCCGGAACCGCCTCCGAGGAGGAATGCCCACCCAGCCCTCCCCTGTTTGGTTTATGTGGAGGCGCGGTCGCAGTCCGCGCCTTTGGGGGGGGGGGTACTGTCACACCCTGGCTCTGGGGACTCTATATGTTGAGCCAGGGTGTGTATATTCTATGTGTTTGTGTTTATATGTTCACAGTCTAGGATTGTATTTCTGTGTTGGCCAGAGTGGTTCCCAATCAGAGGCAACGAGTGTCAGCTGTTGCTGGTTGTCTCTGATTGGGAGCCATATTTATACAGGCTGTTTTCCCACAATGGTTGTGGGATCTTGTTCCAGTTGGTTTTGTGTTTGTACCGTGGACTTCACGTATCGTTTATTGTTTTGTTTATTGTGTGTACACTTAATTAAATAAGATGTACAAATCTCACGCTGCGCCTTGGTCTACTCAATTCGACGATCGTGACAGGTGAATACTTTTGCAAGCCACTGTACTAGTTCTGTGGTTGGAACATTGAGTCCCTGTCTTGTCTCCATGGCTCCTTGTCATTGAGGTGCCAGGCATAGGTTTCATGGGTTTGCCACGCAAGAGTGTGACTTAACATCAAGAGTGTGAGATGATTCCTGTCTCTGTGTCTGGCCAAGCCCATCATGAGTTGCCCAAAAGAGGACATCAAACAGGCATCAAACAAGGAACAGTCGAGTCACCAAGATGGCCGCCGCCACCGCCGCTAACAAACAAAACAATCGGGGCTCTCCCATTTTATATTGATTATGTAAAACACACATTATGTTATAGGCTAGGGGCTAAAATTATCATCATTCATCACCTTCTTAGACTTAACTCTTTTTTATGTAATTTTTTGGGGAATCCAGTCCACATTTAAAGGATGAACCTTACAGATATTTTCTATGCAAGTTGTACTAGTTGAGAAGTAAGAGGTGGAAGGGCTTGCATTTAAATATCTCATTATGCTGTATTGTGATACAGTACAATGCTTCTCTACTACTGTCTGGGAAATGTAAGATCTCGTGATTAGATTCTTAGAGGAGCTGTACAAATTGAATATCAAAGGGAACACTCTGTCTGCACAAAAGTATCTGATTAATCTAATCTACAGTACAGTGTGTCTCACCCGTGGTACTCTGCACTGAGTCAGCCAGGTCAGGATGTCCCTGTGTGTTTACGAGCTGTGTCCCCAGTCAGTCCCCATTAACGTAAGTAATGACATTTGCCTCTGCCTAGCCATCTGGGTCCTGGCTCTGCCTCCTAAGGTTGCCTCCTGGAGTAGGATCATTAAATGGATAGTATGAGGAAACTTGCTATAACTCTTGCAGACAAGATCGGAGATACTCCCACTGCCACACCTCCTACTGCCACACCTCCAGGCTATACCATCCTCAGGGTGTCCTGTGATATTCCGTGCTCATAGGGTGCTGGCTGGCTGTCTGACTTTCTGGCTGGCTGGTTAGCTGGCTGCTCCAGCCTCCAGGGTTTCTCAGGCTGGCTAGTTGGTGTTGGTGTGTGGGTCCAGCCCTGATCAGGCTGGCTGGTTGGTGTGTGGGTCCAGCCCTGGGACCCTCCCTCCCCTTTTTACCTCTCCCTCCAGCTGCTGTGTCGCCATGAGTCTGCTCCCTTGAAATATAATATCCTCATCTGTGCCTCATTTATCGCTGGCAGGCCATTACAACCCCTGTTTAATCCCTGCTACATTTGTGTCTTTGAGAAACGGAACCCTCTGATGACTGGCTTTATGAGAGGGGAGATGTGTGTAGATTTATTTGGGGTGTGACTTTAGGAGCCCCCTTTTTTATTAGGGCGCCATATTAAGTAACACCCGCCCCCCCCCCTCTCTGGTTTAGATATATGACTGGGAACTGTACATGACTTTAGATGTTCAGCTGATCACGTTGCATGTTTGTGTTGTTGTAAGGCATTTCTAGCATGGATTGGTACGGTTGGTATATTTAGCTGCCTGTAAATAGGAGTGTTCTATAATAATAATAATATAATATGCCATTTAGCAGACGCTTTTATCCAAAGCGACTTACAGTCGTGCGTGCATACATTTTTGTGTATGGGTGGTCCCGGGGATCGAACCCACTTCTGAATTGATCAATCAGCGTACATTGGTCCTGCTTCTGCTGCTGCATCCCCATGAAACCTGATAGGAGAACTACATGTGATGCATCATTCCTCATCATTCCATTATGCATCGTCTATAGCTGTCTGCATTTACAAATAAAATGATCACAATCACAAAAATCGCTTTGCACTAATCATGAGGAATAATCAATCAACAGTTTACACAGTTAATCAGTGGGATACATAATTCCAATTTTTTAAACAATGCGCAAAGATGGAGCAGGTGCTTCTGTTTTGTCCACAGCTGTCCCCTCCAGTGTGTGCCAGCATCGACACGTGTATGTCAGGCATGTGGCCAACAGAAGGCAGACTGTCTACCATGATACATGTACTGGTCTGCATGAGGTCTGTGCCAACATTTTGCAGGACAGTCAAATAGTGTGAGTCATGAGATCATGTTGTTGTACAAAGGAACTAATACACCATTTAAACGACCTAGATAAGCATTGTCACCAGGAGAATAGAAGGGTGTACGCCATAGGAGGAAGCAGGCAGCAGCGTTTATACCGTCAAGTATTTGGTAAATATACTGCATCTATCATTCCACAAGGCTGTAGAGCAGCAGAGCTCTCTTCCTTCACATAAATCCTTGTGCAGCGGTACATTACGGCCTTGCCTTATTACATGCCTTGCTAAGCATTGACGCACGGAGAGTGATGGATAAGAGCAGGCAGACCAATAGGTGTGGTTTCTGAGGCCTGGCTGGAGGTGGATTTGAATACAGCGCTGCCTGACTGCGTGTTTCTGTGGCAGAACTCGGTGCAGGTATCGCCTTTCACAGCCTGCCTGCCTCAGATCCATCCGGATAGGCAAGGGTGAGGCTGAGGGTGTATCCTAAATGGCATCCTGGTCAAAAGGAATGCACTAAATAGGGAATAGGGTGCCATTTGGGATTCATGCTGATGTTCAGGTACAGTGCCTTGCAAAAGTATTCATACCCCTTGGCGTTTTTCCTATTTTGTTGCATTACAACCTGTAATTTAAATTGATTTTTATTTGGATTTCATGTAATGGACAAACACAAAATAGTCCAAATTGGTGAAGTGAAATGAAAAAAATTACTTCTTTCAACAAATTATACAAAATAAATAACGGAAAAGTTTTGCGTGCATATGTATTCACCCCTTTGCTATGAAGCCCCTAAATAAGATCTGGTGCAACCTACCTTCAGAAGTCACATAATTAGTTAAATAAAGTCCACCTGTGTGCAATTTAAGTGTCACGTGATCTGTCACATGATCTCAGTATATATACACCTGTTCTGAAAGGCCCCAGAGTCTGCAACACCACTAAGCAAGGGACACCACCAAGCAAGCGGCACCATGAAGACCAAGGAGCTCTCCAAACAGGTCAGGGACAAAGTAATGGAGAAGTACAGATCAGGGTTGGGTTAGAAAAAAATATCCGAAACTTTGAACATCCCATGGAGCACCATTAAATCAATTATTAAAAAATTGAAAGAATATGGTACCACAACAAACCTGCCAAGAGAGGGCCGCCCACCAAAACTCATGGACCAGGCAAGGAGGGCATTAATCAGAGAGGCAACAAAGAGACCAAAGATAACCCTGAAGGAGCTGCAAAGCTCTACAGTGGAGATTGGAGTATCTGTCCATAGGACCACTTTAAGCCATACACTCCACAGAGCTGGACTTTACAGAAGAGTGGCCAGAAAAAAGCCTTTGCTTAAAGAAAAAAATAAGCAAACATGTTTGGTGTTCGCCAAAAGGCATGTGGGAGACTCCCCAAACATATGGAAGAAGGTACTCTGGTCAGATGAGACTAAAATTGAGCTTTTTGGCCATCAAGGAAAACACTATGTCTGGCGCAAACCCAACACCTCTCATCACCCTGAGAACACCATCCCCACAGTGAAGCATGGTGGTGGCAGCATCATGCTGTGGGGATGTTTTTCATCGGCAGGGACTGGGAAACTGGTCAGAATTGGAGGAATGATGGATGGCGCTAAATACAGGGAAATTCTTGAGGGAAACCTGTTTCAGTCTTACAGAGATTTGAGACTGGAATGGAGGTTCACCTTCCAGCAGGACAATGACCCTAAGCATACTGCTGAAGCAACACTCGAGTGGTTTAAGGGGAAACATTTAAATGTCCTGGAATGGCCTAGTCAAAGCCCAGACCTCAATCCAATTGAGAATCTGTGGTATGACTTAAAGATTGCTGTACACCAGCGGAACCCATCCAACTTGAAGGAGCTGGAGCAGTTTTACCTTGAAGAATGGGCAAAAAACCCAGTGGCTAGATGTGCCAAGCTTATAGAGACATACCCCAAGAAACTTGCAGCTGTAATTGCTGCAAAAGGTGGCTCTACAAAGTATTGACTTGGGGGGGCGGGGGGGGGTGAATAGTTATGCACGCTCAAGTTTTCTGGTTTTTTTGTCTTATTTCTTGTTTGTTTCACAAGAGAAAATATTTTGCATCTTCAAAGTGGTAGGCATGTTGTGTAAATCAAATGATACAAACCCCCCAAAAATCAAGAAAAATGCCAAGGGGGGTGAATACTTTCGCAAGCCACTGTAGGTCTTCCTGCCAAGCTGGCTGCTCCAGTGACAAATTCACTACATTGGGGACAGCCTACATTGCACCGTGTTTCTAATACTACGGCAGTGCTGACACAGGCAATGTCTACTGTATAGTGTATATCAAGACTATTTGTTTTGTAAATACCAGAACAACACAATTTCATACTGTACTGTATAGAATAGGATATAGGATCTTTTGAACAGTCAGCCTCAGATACCACAGTGTGCCTTTAATATGTTTAGGGTGAAACTAAAGAGTTGTCTTTCTGTTTTACAGGTTAGTGTGATTGTTTGAAACGCTGCTGCGACAAGGAGAGATCTTCAACATGAATACAGGTGTGTATCTGCCGGTGGACAGTTGTATTGCTCTTCTTCAAAGGGTCTCTTTTGAATATCATTCAATCGTTCAGCCTTTTCTTTATTCAAAACAGCCACACAAAGCAGTCCTCTCTCTAGGCCTTTGTCCAACAGAGCTGGAAGTGACTGGGCATTCATCTCATGGCTCTGGTAAACCGGGCCTGTTTGTGAGTCTCATTTTGTGGGCTTGACTTTTCTCCAAGATATTAAAGGAAGCTCCGCGGCTTACAAAATAACTGGCCATTCCACACCCCAGAGATGCAATGAATAGAACAAAAAAAAAAAAAAAGTAAAGTAACTCTGATTGTTTACCCATGTCTACGTCCCAGCCAGACAGCTCTTCCTGTAAGCGGCAGGCCCTAGCCAGGATGCTTTTTGTATGAGTCATGAGGAAATTATAATTCTGCCTCTCTTCTTATTGCAAGGCATTGTCCGTGTTGGCATTTGGGATAAAATCTATTTTCTCAGTTGCATGTGATTTCCTCGCATTCCTCATATTAAAGCACTGGAATAAAAGCGGGCAGATCACTTTTCAAAGTTTGCCCCATTGAAATAATGCTGTATTAGGCCTACATAGTTTCTTATGGAACAATCCTCAAATATTTGCATTGTGCATGCAGTCACTCCCGCTGTGTGAGATAGGCCTGCATTATGCACCGCCATGCTACGCTTTCTGATGAGTTTTCTGTGAGAGCTGCTCGAAATGATCCAGGATACGTTTCCTATTATCAGCCCATCAAATCTACAATAGAAATTGAACCTATTTCAATGTACTATACATACAGTTGAAGTCGGAAGTTTACATACACCTTAGCCAAATACATTTAAACTCAGTTTTTCACAATTCCTGACATTTAATCCTAGTAAAAATTCCCTGTCTTAGGTCAGTTAGGATCACCACTTTATTTGATGAATGTGAAATGTCAGAATAATAGTAGAGAGAAGGATTTATTTAAGCTTTTATTTATTTCATCACATGCCCAGTGGGTCAGAAGTTTACGTATACTCAATTAGTAGCATTGTCTTTAAATTGTTTAACTTGGGTCAAACGTTTCAGGTATCCTTCCACAAGCTTCCCACAATAGGTTGGGTGAATTTTGTCCCATTCCTCCTGACAGAGCTGGTGTAACTGAGTCAGATTTGTAGGCCTCCTTGCTCGCACACGCTTTTTCAGTTCTGCCCACACATTTTCTATAGGTTTGAGGTCAGGGCTTTGTGATGACCACTCCAATACCTTGACTTTGTTGTCCTTAGGCCATTTTGCCACAACTTTGGAAGTATGCTTGGGGTCATTGTCCATTTGGAAGACCCATTTGCGACCAAGCTTTAACTTCCTGACTGATGTCTTGAGATGTTGCTTCAATATATCCACATAATTTTCCTTCCTCATGATGCCATCTATTTTGTGAAGTGCACCAGTCCCTCTTGCAGCAAAGCATCCCCACAGCATGATGCTGCCACCCCCGTGCTTCACGGTTGGGATGGTGTTCTTCGGCTTGCAAGCGTCCCCCTTTTTCCTCCAAACATAACGATGGTCATTATGGCCAAACTGTTCTATTTTTGTTTCATCAGACCAGAGGACATTTCTCCAAAAAGTACTATCTTTGTCCCCATGTGCAGTTGCAAACCGTAGTCTGGCTTTTTTATGGTGGTTTTGGAGCAGTGGCTTCTTCCTTGCTGAGCGGCCTTTCAGGTTATGTCGATATAGGACTCGTTTTACTGTGAATATAGATACTTTTGTACCTGTTTCCTCCAGCATCTTCACAATGTCCTTTGCTGTTGTTCTGGGATTGATTTGCACTTTTCGCAGCAAAGTACGTTCATCTCTAGGAGACAGAACGCGTCTCCTTCCTGAGCGGTATGACTGCTGCGTGGTCCCATGGTGTTTATACTTGCGTACTATTGTTTGTACAGATGAACGTGGTACCTTCAGGCATTTGGAAATTGCTCCCAAGGATGAACCAGACTGGTGGAGGTCTACAATTCTTTTTCTGAGGTCTTGGCTGATTTCTTTTGATTTTCCCATGATGTCAAGCAAAGAGGCACTGAGTTTGAAGGTAGGCCTTGAAATACATCCACAGGTACACCTCCAATTGACTCAAATGATGTCAATTAGCCTATCAGAAGCTTCTAAAGCCATGACATCATTTTCTGGAATTTTCCAAGCTGTTTAAAGGCACAGTCAATTTAGTGTATATAAACTTCTGACCCACTGGAATTGTGATACAGTGAATTATAAGTGAAATAATCTGTCTGTAAACAATTGTTTGAAAAATTACTTGTGTCATGCACAAAGTAGATGTCCTAACCGACTTGCCAAAACTATAGTTTGTTAACAAGAAATTTGTAGAGTGGTTGAAAAACGAGTTTTAATGACTTCAACCTAAGTGTATGTAAACCTCCGACTTCAACTGTATTTCATGTCCATATATTCAGTACCAAAATTCTAATGACATTTTTCATCAGATAATCCTGCCTTGCATGCACAATGACTTGCATTATGTGACAGAATGCTTTATTTAATTTCATTGGGATCAGGCATGATTTGGGTTAATCTTCTTCATATGCTTAATCTTTTTTGCCATGATGCCATATTTTTATGCATTTGCTTTGGGGGGCTTGTCTGTCTGTTGGGGGGGCTTGTGTCTGTGTCTTTGTTGGGAGTCTGTCTTTGTTGGGGAGGCTTGTGTCTGTGTCTTTGTTGGGGGGGGGGGGCTTCCCTGTCTCTCACTCTTAACTCCCCATAGCACTTCCCTGTCTCTTACTCTAATTCCCCATAGCACTTCCCTGTCTCTTAACTCTAACTCCCCATAGCACTTCCCTGTCTCTCACTCTTAACTCCCATAGCACTTCCTGTCTCTCACTCTTGACTCCCCAGGGCACTTCCCTGTCTCTCACTCTTAACTCCCCATAGCACTTCCCTGTCTCTCACTCTTAACTCCCCATAGCACTTCCCTGTCTCTTACTCTAAGTTCCCCCATAGCACTTCCCTGTCTCTCACTCTTAACTTCCCATAGCACTTCCCTGTCCTCTCACTCTTAACTCCCCATAGCACTTCCCTGTCTCTCACTCTTAACTTCCCATAGCACTTCCCTGTCTCTCACTCTTAACTTCCCATAGCACTTCCCTGTCTCTCACTCTTAACTCCCCAGGGCACTTCCCTGTCTCTCACTCTTAACTCCCCATAGCACTTCCCTGTTCTCACTCTTAACTTCCCATAGCACTTCCCTGTCTCTCACTCTTAACTTCCCATAGCACTTCCCTGTCTCTCACTCTAACTCCCCATAGCACTTCCCTGTCTCTCACTCTTAACTTCCCATAGCACTTCCCTGTCTCTCACTCTTAACTTCCCATAGCACTTCCCTGTCTCTCACTCTAACTCCCCATAGCACTTCCCTGTCTCTCACTCTTAACAACCATGAAGAGAGTCCAGAGCTCACCAAACCTATATGGGGCAGCAGGTACTCTATTCACTCCACTCAACTCAAATATACACCTCTAGTTTCTTCAAAAATAATAATACCATTTGAAAATGCCCGCTTTCCAAATTCAATATTCCTCCCATCTGGGATGTCTTCACAGCCTTTCCATCCTTCATCTCACAGGTTTCTCATCCTCCTCTCCTCTCTCTCTCTCATCTCTCTCTCTCTCTCTCTCTCTCTCTCTCTCTCTCTTTCTTTCTTTCTTTCTTTCTTTCTTTCTTTCTTTCTTTCTCTCTCTCTCTCTTTCTTTCTTACTCTCTCTCTCTCTCTCTCTCTCTTTCTTTCTTACTGGCTCAAGCAGCATAGAGTCATGTTGATTACAGATACTGTCTCTTCGACTTCTGAACAGTAGCTGGATTGTTGCCATAGTTGTGCCAGAACCATGGTACTTTTTCCCACCTCATTCTCAGCCTTGTTTCCTCTTGAGCATGACCTCCTTTTTGACCTGTGACTTCACCCAAACATAGAGCCATTGTTTGATCATTCCATGGACTGCAAGGTACCACAGTGTTGGGTTAAGAGTTTATGATCTGGCTAAACAAACAGTTTCTATTCATGGTGCTGTTAGGACTTGCTTTCTGTTATGTGTGCTGCTGCTTTGATCTGTCGTTTTCAGTGTCCCTTCTTCATCACCCTCTACTCTCTGATCCATGGGGCTTTAAGTGGATTTGTTTATTCTCTTGCTTGTAATACATGAAGTTAGATCAGTCATCATATTTGATGTTTTTCTTGACACGTTTTAATTCGTTCCTGCCTTGAGGAAGATTACTAAAATGATTTCATCAGTTCCATCACACACATGAAATACCAACTTTTTTAGTTTCTTCCATCTAGGTAATGAGTCTCACCTGTCAGATTCAGGTAAGAACTCCATCATTCATTATTTAATGATTTTTCATGACTTAAGTTGTTGATACTCAATCAGTGAAATCCTCAGTATAGAGCTGAGGCTGGATCAAATAACTAATATTGGTCCAGTTACCATGGCTACAATAAGCAGGAAAAGGCACAGGGCGTTGGGGAAGCGGACACTCAGATGCTATTTGTGCTGTGATTGGCTGTTAGATGTGTGGCAGTCGTACAGCGCCACAGAGAGCCTGAGGAACGGCGACGTCACCACTTCCTCCCTGGCCGCCAAAGGCTTCAGGAGCGTCAGACCCAATCTGCAGGACAAGAGGTCTCCCACACCAGTGAGTCTCGTGGCTGGCGTTCAGTGTTTGTTTACCCCACAGTTGTTTTCCTCCCAGCACTGCTGTCTCCTGTCTCATGTCTCTTGTCCCTGCCTGGCCTTTTCCTTCAACAGGAAATGGAAATGGAAACGCCCCTGGTCTCCGGACTGCGTCTGAAATAGTACCCTGCCTATAGTGCACTACTTTTGACGAGAGCTCTAGTAGTGCACTGTATAGGGAATAGTAGTGCACTGTATAGGGAATAGGGTGCCATTTGGGACGTATCCCAGGTTAATTAATGGTTTAATTCAACAGCTGACGTCATTCATTGATCTCCATGAAGAACACTGATAGTCTTTTTCTGATGTGTTGTATTGTTTTTTTGTCGGTACTGATATAATTTTTCCATTGCCGAGCTTGAATGATCTATTGAGGCATCTGAAAGGCTCTGGGGAGCCCTTGAGAAAAGGTTCTGTTTTATCTGGAAGCTGTTGTGCATTCTGTACTGCCTATTGCTTTTAGCTGGTCAAGGCCAGGCATCGCTGCTAAACCGAGCTAGTTTTTGTTTACAAAACCACTCTCTCAAATGGACTACTTGTTGACATATAAGGGCAAATGCACTGTATAACCACCCAACCTGTTAAGGTTAGAGAGAATGTTTGCTGCCATAAAAAACATTCTGACTCAGACTCAGATCGCTGAGAAAAAGCTTTCTCTTTATAGAGTATATTTTAATAGTCACAGTACAGGGATTATTTGTCTCAACAGAAGATATTACAATGCCTTTAATAATGGATTTGTATGTTGTCGTCTGTCTCTCTTCTGTGAATGTTTTGGAATGCCTTGGCTGAGTAAGGCCCCACCTCCTCCCAGTCATAGCTCTCACCTGAGCCCTGTTGCCAGTTCCCCCCCACCCTACAGCCCTCCTCTGCCTGGACCTGGTGAATGTTCCTCACTGGTCCTTAGGCACCGGTCCCACTCCTCAGAATCCATGTCCTCCTATTCACACTACCCAGAGAACACCTCTCTCAATCCCAACACCAGGTTAACTATACCAAGCACCAGTAGCTCCTCCCAAACTGTCCACAGTCAACCACAGGGATCCGACATGGTCTCCCCAAGACTAACCCCGTTGCAGGCTACTGAGAGCGCTTACCCCCCTGGTGCACAGTCACACCCCCACCATGAGCCTGTCATTAAAGACAAGCCACCCCTCCCCCAGAGAGAGAGACACACCTCCTCCCTGTCCATCCGCATCACCCCACCCACCCCCCTGGTGGTCACAGTGCCCCTGCTCTGCCAGTACCCCCTCCCCTCAGCAGGGCCCCTGTGGACAGGACCCCAGGACACAGGGACGGCTCTCCTGCTCTCGCCCCCTGCAGGCCGACAAGTGGTATAAACATTTTCTAGTTTTTACTGACTGAACCATCCCATTTTCCTCTGTAACATATCAGTACCAGACACTCTTCACTAATCATTAGAGTAGTTCATAGTAGCTAGGTTCTCCAGCACTGGAGTTATTTTTGTGTCTGACAAGTAGTTTATCATTTCTGCCCTGGAGGACTCTGAGGTTTGAATAGCTCATTAGCAAGTGATTATGGTAATTCGCCTTTGAAAATTATGGATTTATTTATGATAACCCTTAGGAAATTGCAAATAAATGATTTGCATGTCTGTGTCTGAGATCTCGTCCTTGCATTAATGCACCATTACTATATTTCTGCAGCAAAGGATTTTGTACGAAACCAAATGTGTTATTATTACAACTGGATCAGTTCCCCAACATTAACTAGGAGACAGTACCTTTATTTCTACTCTCAGGAACCAGAGCTCCACCTGGCTTTACTCAAACATCACCTCTTCTCTCTCTCCACCTGCCATCTCTCTCAGGAACCAGAGTTCCACCTGGCTTTACTCAAACATCACCTCTTCTCTCTCTCCACCTGCCATCTCTCTCAGGAACCAGAGTTCCACCTGGCTTTACTCAAACATCACCTCTTCTCTCTCTCCACCTGCCATCTCTCTCAGGAACCAGAGTTCCACCTGGCTTTACTCAAACATCACCTCTTCTCTCTCTCTCCACCGCCCATCTCACTCTACGAGCCGCCACTGCAGTGTATGTGCTGTGTTTCACTCTTAACTCTTCTCTCCACATTCAACTCTAGCTTCAGGTCCCTCCGAGACCGCCACACAGGCAGACATCTCCTGAACTGACACTGCCAGCCTACCAGCCCCCCCTAAACAGGCCCTTTCATATCCATCTCTCATCTGACCCCTCAAAGTCCCCCAGCCTCCCCCCACCAGTCCCGGTGGGCCCCCGGACCCCCTCCCTGCCCCCCCAGGGCCCCTCCACCCCTGAGCCCAGCCAGAGCGGGGCCACCTCAGTCCTCAGCTGCTCCTACAGTGATTTGTCCACTGCCGTTCTGGAGGAAGAGCTGCAACACTGTGCCCTGCTGTGTGCCACCGACAGGAGCTCCCAAACGCCCTCGCCCACCCTCAGCCAGACGTCGGCCATCACCGACAACACTGCACTCACTGCCACTACCTCTACCACCGCCGCCGCTAATGTAACTATTCACCTGCTGTCTACCTGACCTGAGCTCACCCCTCTCCCTGTAACCTCTCCTCCCTGACTGTTTCAAATCTCTCTTCTGAAACGGGCCTGAGTTCAGTCCTGAGACACTAACCAGACTCCATCCTCTTGGGTTGATTGGTTGATATTCTCTCCCCTCTCTTCACCTGATGTGAGCTGTTGTGCCTCTCCATCCTAAACAGCAGCTAAACAGCTCCTCTGCTTTGTCTTACTGTATTTAATGCTTTCTCTCAGGTTAAGGACTAATGACATTAGTTCCACAGCTTCTCCCTACTTACTATAATCGATCAATGTTATAACACAATATCTGAATGTGCCAGACACTATGGGTTCATATCATGGTTTTATTATGGCCCATTATGTTACGTCTTCCCTTGTTTTCCCTTACCCAACTAACAGTTACAGTAGGTGGAAAGCAAGTCAACTACAGTGTAACTAAACCATACTTACACCAACCTTCTTAATTCCATGTTTGTGGATGGTTATTCTATTTTCCCTTTACTGTGTTGGTACCATTTTTAATGCTGTCCTTTTTATAATCAACATGACAAATAACCACACACTGTTTGTCTATGCCAAATTCTCTGTCCCTGACTTCTTTAACGGCGATGGATTGGATTTCAGTCTCTTCATTTCTTTCTTTCTTTCTTTCTTTCTTTCTTTCTTTCTTTCTTTCTTTCTTTCTTTCTTTCTTTCTTTCTTTCTTTCTTTCTTTCTTTCTTTCTTTGTCTGTTTGCTGAGCTACTGATGATGATACTATTGTATATTCATTAATTCTCTCTCTCTCTCGCTCTCTCTCTCTCGCTCCCTTTCTCTCTCTCGCTGTCTCTGATGTGTCTCTCAGAACTACATGACAGTGAATGGGAACAGAGGGATCACGGGTAGCTCCTACAGTCACCTCCAGAGGCCCTTCTCCCCCATGTCCTACCCCCCTCCTCCCTCACTCAGCCTCGGCCTCTTAACACAGGCCAGGAGTGCAGGTGAGTACTGCTTGATAGCTCTATCAGTTTACTTCCCGTCTTGAAACCTGCTGTAAATCAGTGATTGACTTAGACACACACACACACACACCTCTCTAAGGTCATTTGCCCCTTGGCAAAATAGCTTCAGTCTACAGTGCAGAAGAGTGTAGCCTGTGCAGGCACTAGTAAGCCTACAGCCTCTCACTCACTCCCATGGCTAACTGAGTGTGTCAGTCCTGCTGGCGCTCTCATGCACTAATACACCTCTAACTAGAGAAGAATCACAGCCCGACGCTAGCTGGAGCATCTAGGTGCTTTGGCGTGTGTGTGAGAGAGTGAGGTAGAGAGCGAGGGGGAAGAGGGAAAGAGAGAGGGGGAAGAGGAGAGAGAAGAGAGGTGGAGCTCACGGCTCATTGAGGCGCTGGTGGGGGTGTGTGCTCCTGGTTCGTCTGCATCCAGTGATCTCTGTAATCCCGGTGGCCAAGTGACGCGGATTAAAGCCTTAATCTGAGGGAGGGGATTAGAGTGGCTGAGACCAGGCTCTCTCTCTGTTTTTTTCCTATCTTTCTTTCTCTCTTCACTATTATCGTCTCCTGGGAAGGATCTAGTTCAACATGTTTCTAATCACTCCTATATACTATAGGTCCTAGAAGAGATAAGAGATGTGTTTTGCTCTGTGTGTGTGGGGAGGAGGTTTTCTTTACCAGAGAGTGGTTGGTTTACCCAGTCTTTACCCACCAGTGTTTACTGTTTACCAACCTCACTCCCTGTCTGTCTGTCTGTCTGTGAGATGACCTGGTCTGCAGTAGTGTAGAGTAGGCATGGTTTGTCTCTTCTTTCCCACTCCTCCCTCCTCCTCATCGTTTCTCTCCTTCCCCATGGCTCTCCTGTCTGGCAGAGGTCCGCTCCCCAGTCTACCCCCGTATGAGCCGCCCGCCCCCCACCACCCCAGCAGAGGAGGGGTACCAGGAGGTACCAGGAGCCCCAGGGGGTGGCGAGGGGGGGAAAGGCCCTCACTACGCAGGCATCGGCCCCGTGGATGAGTCTGGAATCCCTATCGCCATCAGAACAGTGAGTTGACAAAGCCTGTGTCCCAAATGGCACCCTATATAGAGAATAGGATATATAGGGAATAGGGTGCCATTTGGGACACACAGAGTATACTGCTACTAGACTAGAGCATGGGGCTTGTCTCTATTTCATACCCCTACTGCTAGGTTTCACCATTCAACCTGGATTTTACTATACTCAGGATTCACAAGGCACTTGAGGTGCTTATAGTACTTGAATTTGGCACCCTGAAATTCAAATTCAGACATTTTCTCAAGTCGGTACTTGAAAAGTGCTTGAATTAAAATGAGAAGAGAACAGAAAATGATAAAATATGTTAATATGAAAAATATTAGAAAAATGTATTGGGCTTGCAAATTAATTTCCAGGCAGACTACCGAGTTTTATTTCCTCACATGTTTTGCGCTCTGGTTGTGAGGCGAGCTCGCTCATTCCACTCACACTGCCACTCAGCCAGGCAGGTACAGAACTGACTGATTCAAGCCTGCCTGGCAGGATATTGATGTTTATGAATGGGTTTTGCCAGACCCAACCAGGTTTTGCCGTTTACGCACCTTTTTATTTTGTTAATTATCGTTTACCCACTTATTATTGCGTTCCCAGTGTTGATCAACGCTCAGAAGGCTTCTTGATCTGAGTTCTAATCGTTGATCAACGCTCAGAAGGCTTCTTGATCTGAGTTCTAAGTTGGCAGAGCATGGCGCTTGTAACACCAGGGTTGTGGGTTCGATTCCCACGGGGGGGCATGGGGGCCAGTATGAAAATGTATGCACTCACTAACTGTAAGTCGCTCTGGATAAGAGCGTCTGCTAAATGACTAAAATGTAATCGTTGATCAACGCTCCGAAGGCTTCTTGATCTGAGATCTAATCGCGACTACCTCTGCGAACAAGTGGAATCATGAATGATTCATGTATGCTCGTTATGTTTGCGTGCTCCCCCGGATTTGCCTTGTTAGCAGCGCATTCATTCACCACTCTGTCCAACGGGAAACTCTGCCCACAACATAGGCCGACAGGTGAAACTAACTACCTCAGCCCAGACCTACAGTGGCAAGTAGCAAAGAGACGCCGCGACAGTGGGAATCCTTTTAACATCCCTTGACTCCTGCTGTGTCAACAGACATCCTCCAAACAAACCCCCCCCCTCTCGGGGAATGAGTGTACAACTGGTAAATAGTCGCTGATATTTCAGTCAGATGTCTAGCTAGCTAGGTAGCTCAAGGGCTCTGGCTATTAGCCAGTTAGCTAGCTATAACTAAATGGCTAGAAGGATGAAGTTAGAAGCTAATGTTGAACGGAGCCTGACCTCAGCAGGAGCAGTTGACTGAAATTAAGCTAGCTATAATCAAATGATGGGCTACTATAAGTTCTCATAACAAAATACATTTTCTTTACAGTGAGACAGACACTGGTGAGACAGTCTGCAATGAAGGAGGCAAAAGAGATACACAGAGAGAGGAACCATTGAAGCAAGCAGGGAGAGAGATTAGTAGCACAGTGGTTCCCAAACTTGGGGTCCGGGACCCATGTGGGGTCCCCTAAAATGTAAATAGGGTCCCCTGAGAGAGTCTTTAATCTTATCAAACACAATAACTTGTTTCTCTTTAAATGGGTATAGAACATTTTAGAGTCAACTAAGGGCCTTTTACTCTGTCAGAATTCACTGTCATGTCGTTATGTGTTGGGACAGCCTGTGGGACTTAACATTTTGTGAAATATAAAGTTAATTTAAATATAAAGACAATTTAATATTATTCATACTGAACAAAAATATGAACGCAACGTGCAACAATTTCAAAGATTTAACTGAGTTACAGTTCATATAAGGAAATCAGTCAACATCATCAGTCCTGACTTACCACTCATGTATGTACATTTACATTTACATTTTAGTCATTTAGCAGACGCTCTTATCCAGAGCGACTTACAGTTAGTGAATACATATTTTTTTATACTGGCCCCCCGTAGTAAATAAGTAGTGAAACACGTATTATTGAGGAGAGCTTGTGAGGTAGTGATGAATAGTAAGTAAGTAATTTTTTTCTCATGAGGTTGTGCCGATATACTGCCATCTGGTGGCGACTAAAAACAATTGCATAATAGGAGCTATTACAAATTGATGGCCCTTGAAAATAAATATTAGTGCTTGAAAAAGTACTTGAAAGTCCTTGACTTGCCGCTGTCTGTACGAACCCTGTACACTGTATTTGTTTGTATTGTCATGATGTGGGGTGTATTATGCAGTTAAACTAGACTAGAGATGGGAGCTTAGTGCATTAGGCCTATATCTTGTTTTGTATTGATAATCCATTAGGGCTTCTCTGCCAGCTTGTGGTTAAGGATATTTCAGGAAAAAAGCTATCTTCTGAGCAACAGTGTAGCTTTGGTTCTCTCCCACCACCAGAGAGATTTTTGCGTAGATGAATAGAGGCTTATGTTGGTGTAAAACACAAAAGGTCAAATGTTATAGTGTTTTGTTTAAATCCAGGCTCCCTTGGACGCACAGTGCAGGTAAATGCCTGGGCCCTATACACCATGACTGTGTTTCTAATCTCCAGTCAATGCAGGTCATCTGTGCCAGGCCGTCCCAGGACTGTATTGTGGGAGGAGAAATTGATTTTCTGTCCCTGGTGTGTTTTATGTAGCCCTGGGAAAAAGCATGCCAACTGAGGTCAGCTTCATTGGCAAGCCTGCAGACAATTACTATGTCTGCGTCCCAAATGGTATCCTATTCCCTTCATAGTGCAATACTTTTGACCAGGACCCTGTAGTAGTAATGTACTATGTAGGGAATAGGGTGACATTTCGGACACATCCTATATCTCATTGTGTAATGGTAACCTGATCTAATACATTGATATGTACACTAATAATGTGGATGTCTCTTTGTGTCCACATCTCACTACTGTGTTTTGTGGGTGTTATTTTTGGTAAAATGGTGCAGTGGGGGTTTATGATTTTGTTGTATGTTTTTCTTAAAGACCGTGGACAGACCAAAGGACTGGTATAAGTCCATGTTCAAGCAGATTCACGTGGTACACAAACCAGGTAAGAGCTCATTTCCATAATAACTACAGGATGTATTTCCACCTTACCTATCTCTCCACTTGGCCAGGCCCTGAGGAGAAGGGATTCTAAATGGGATTGTTATAGTGCTATTGTGACATTGACCTCCATTGAACTACATACATAGAGAGAGAGCTGACAACAGCTGACGATTTGACAATAGAGCAGCTTTGCTCAGCAGTCTGCAGTTTAGAGAAATGTCATTACTGGGAATCTGACAGTGCAGTTCCTGCATAATGTGAGCCAGCTAGTGTTGACCCCACAGGGATTACACAGTTCACTGGGTCACACACATTGACAACAATGACATACAACCATATGCTTCATATTTTTTTAATTATCTCAGCAACACCTGCACACACTGCATTGGTGGTGCCTTTTGTAATACCCATATTGCATTGGAAAATATGTTATGAGCAGTCATTGGCTCCTTATAGCAGCCTATACAAATATGATAATTCCTGTAATATATTCATAACGCATTACACATAGATGGTGTTACCATTTTCTTTGACTACAGGTAGAATCGTCTTACAAAGAGAACAGCTTAAGAAATGAATCAATGTATGAAAACAAACAAAACAGTCATTGCTTACACGATGAGTTGGAGTACACTGCTAATCATCTTACTTTGGTGTTTATCACAGAAAATGAACATGCGGACCCATATAATACCACCCACACAGTAGTGAATACCGGTAAGAAATGTATTAAACATTTCATCACATGAATCACACATGAATCATAAGTATTGTGTGCTGAGTGCCTGGAATATGATAGAGATACATATGTCACAAATTTCACCATTGAATTCATGCCTACATTCTGGATTGCATCTGTCGCATGCATCTGTTGTTATTACAGATAGCCGTCATCGCTCAGCCCCAGACTATCGGCCAGCCAAGTCATTGCAGACCAATGCTCCGCCCCAGACCCACACGTACCGGCCAATGACCAAGAGTGTGTCCGACAACGGCATGTGCAACGTCTTCAGGAACACAAATTCCTTAACCTCGCCCTCACCCGTGCCCCCCACACCCCCTCCCATACCCTCATCAGCACATGTTCGAGACAGGGAGCGCGAGAGGGACAGAGGCACAGTAGACAGAGGCACGGTAGACACGTAAGACAAAATTATATTAAAATTCCTTTCAAGGGCCTCCTGAGTGGCGCAGTGGTCTAAGGCACTGCATCGCAGTGCTTGAGGCATCACTACAGACCTGGGTTTGATCCCAGGCTATGTCACAACCGGCCGTGACCGGGAGTCCCATAGGGCGGCGCACAATTGGCCCAGCGTCGTCCGGGTAAGGGGAGGGTTTGGCTGGGGGGGACTTTACTTGGCTCATCGCGCTCTAGCGACTCCTTGTGGCGGGCCGGGCGCCTGCAGGCTAACTTCGGTCATCAGTTGAGCAGTGTTTCGACCGACATATTGGTGTGGCTGGCTTCCTAGTTAAGCGGGCGGGTGTAAAGGAGTGCGGTTTGGCGGGTCATGTTTCGGCGGACGCATGACTCAACCTTTGCCCCTCCCGAGTCCGTTGGGGAGTTGCAGCGATGAGACAAGGTCGTAATTGAAATTGAAATTGGGAGAAAAAGGGGGTAAAATAAAAAATATATATATATAAACACCAAAACTAATTAAAATGATTTGGCATGGTAACTTTTGGAACAAGTGGGCCAGTACCTAATAAAATGTCTCTGTATCCTCTAACAAGAAACCAATATGGACCCCCTGACAGAAAGGTGGACACCAGGAAATACCGTGCAGAACCTCGGAGCATCTTCGACTATGAACCTGGGAAATCCTCTATTTTGGAGCAGGAGAGACAGGTAAGGCCAGTCAGTCGCCACTAAACTCATCCCAGCAAACCAAAATTAGTTCTGTGAAAGTTCCCAGAACATAACACAAAAACTGTCTAGTTGTGCTGATAAATATATAATGTTTGTATAAAACATTTGGCTGGTGTTCCCAGAACAAATTTAGTCTGTTCTTTACCTGGAAAAGTTTGGGCAGTGTTCTGTGGTGGTTGTTACAGATGTTGTGTACAACATTTTAGTGAATGCTAGGAGAACATTCCAAGGATATTTAATTTGAAACATACAGTACCTTCGGAAAGTATTTAGACCCCTTGACTTTTTCCACATTTTGTTACATTATAGCCTTATTCTAAAATTGATTAAATATTTTTTTTTTTTAGCAATCTACACACAATAACTCATAATGACAAAGCGAAAACAGGTTTTTAAATTTTTTTTGCAAATGTATTAAAAATAAAGAACAGAAATACCTTATTTACATAAGTATTCAGACCCTGTGCTGTGAGACACAAAATTGAGCTCAGGTGCATCCTGTTTCCATTGATCATTTGGTATTTGGTATTTTATTAGGATCCCCATTAGCTGTAGCAAAAGCTGCAGCTACTCTTCCTGGGGTCCACACAAAACATGAAACATGACATAATACAGAACATTAATAGACAAGAACAGTTCAAGGACAGAACTACATACATTTTTTTTAAAGGCACTTTTTGCACATTTCTGCAGCATGGAAGGTCCCCAAGAACACAGTGGCCTCCATCATTCTTAAATGGAAGAAGTTTGGAACCACCAAGACTCTTCCTAGAGCTGGTCGCCATGCCAAACTGAGCAATCGGGGGAGAAGGGCCTTGTTCAGGGAGGTGACCAAGAACCCGATGGTCACTCTGACAGAGCTCTAGAGTTCCTCTGTGGATATGGGAGAACCTTCCAGAAGGACAACCTTCTCTGCAGCACTCCACCAATCAGGCCTTTATGGTAGAGTGGCCAGACGGAAGCCACTCCTCAGTAAAAGGCACATGACAGCCCGCTTTGAGTTTGCCAAAAGGCACCTAAAGACTCTCAGACCATGATAAACAGGATTCTCTGGTCTGATGAAACCAAGATTGAACTCTTTGGCCTGAATGCCAAGCTTCACGTCTGGAGGAAACCTGGCACCATCCCTACGGTGAAGCATGGTGGTGGCAGGATCATGCTGTGGGGATGTTTTTCAGTGGCAGGGACGAGGAGACTAGTCAGGATCGAGGCAAAGATGAACGGAGCAAAGTACAGAGAGATCCTTGATGAAAACCTGCTCTAGAGCGCTCTGGATCTCAGACTGGGGCGAAGGTTCACCTTCCAACAGGACAACGACCCTAAGCACACAGCCAAGACAACGCAGGAGTGGCTTCGGGACAAGTCTCTGAATGTCCTTGAGTGGCCCAGCCAGAGCCCGGACCTGAACCCGATCGAACATCTCTGGAGAGACCTGAAAATAGCTGTGCAGCAACGCTCCCCATCCAACCTGACAGAGCTTGAGAGGATCTGCAGAGAAGAATGGGAGAAACTCCCCAAATACAGGTGTGCCAAGCTTGTAGCGTCATACCCAAGAAGACTCGATGCTGTAATCGCTGCCAAAGGTGCTTCAACAAAGTACTGAGTAAAGGGTCTGAATACTTATGTAAATGTATTATTTCAGTTTTTTATTTGTAATAAATTAGCAAACATTTCTAAAAACCAGTTTTTGCTTTGTCATTATGGGTATTGTGTGTAAAAACAATTTAATCCATCTTAGAATAAGGCTGTAACGTAACAAAATGTGGAAAACGTCAAGGCATCTGAATATTTCCCAAAGGCACTGTATAATTCTTTTTTTTTTTAAAGTGTTATAAAAAACATTATTTGAATGTTTTTGGGATGTTGTCATCCTAATGTTAGATAAATCCCAAACTAGAACTTAATAGGAATCTTAGTTATGTTCAGGGAATGTTCCTGTTTTGCTGGGACGACATTTGAACTCTCCTAAATGACCTTTGTTGATATCACTCCTCCTAGCAGGTAATTAGCAGTGGACTATTTCAGCAGCAGACCATGTGCCCTGCAGGGTTCATCTCATTAGCTGAGCTGTTTGAAATGCACCATTGTTCTGAGGCACTTACGTGGAACAGGCCCATAGTTTATTTTGTGGCAGCAATTCATTTCAGTGGCAGTGCAATTAGACTACCAAAGGTATTTACTGTTTTCCTCTTTCCAGTAGGGGACAGTGGGGTAAGTTGGGCCATTTGTTACATTCAGCATCACTCCGTCAAGGGAAATATAGTATTATTTCTAACAAAGATATCTACATATATTTCAGGATGTTGTGTATCCCTGGAAATAATTCAGAATTAATGTAAACATTACAGTTTTTAAAACATAGCTTGTCCCAAAAAAGTGGTCTCTTAGCACAACTTACCCGGGTATGGGGTAAGTTGAGCCGCGGACAGGGTAACTTAAGCTGCCTACAAATTTCTGTACTGAATGAAATATTACCACTACCTATTTTAAACCATGTCTGTCTTTATTTCCCAAACACAACTCAACACATTCACAATCGCTTTTTTGTCTTTTAATCATTTTAAGTATCTTTTAACAAAGGCTTAACACTGAACAAACACTTTGTACTTTTCTAAACACTTTTAACATAGGCTAGACCCTGTTGTTACCTCATATCCAGGTCGTCATTGTAAATAAGAATTTGTTCTTAATTGACTTGCCTGTATAAATAAAGGTGAAATAAAAAATGAAATATAGCCCAGCGATAATGCCTTGCATTACGCCTGGGAAGAAAACGCTTCAATTTGCTAAATTTGCCATCGGCTCAACCATTGGCTCAATTTACATTTTAGTCATTTAGCAGACGCTCTTATCCAGAGCGACTTACAGTTAGCACATACATTATTTTTATCGAACCCACAACCCTGGCGTTGCGAACGCCATGCTCTACCAACTGAGCTACATCCCCTGCCGGCCATTCCCTCCCCTACCCTGGACGACGCTGGGCCAATTGTGCGCCGCCCCATGGGTCTCCCTTACCCCAAGGCAAACATTTTGACTATATTAGCCCACAAAGCTACAAGGATGCACTTTCATGCTAGGTTTAGGACCTCATATTGAAGCTTATAGAGACCCCAACTGATGTAATGAACAATCTTAAAACTGCCTACGTTGGTTTAGATACAAGCATCATGAAACCTCTTAACACAATAAATTAATTTGACTTGATAAAAATCTGTTTTTTGGACCTAACTTGCTTACCACTTTTTCCATGTGGTTTCTTCCTTCACAGACTCCATGAAATGATGATCTCTTCCTAAATATTTGGTCAAATTATTAATTTTGTATTCCTAGAAACAAGGGTGGCTCAACTTACCCTTTACCTCAACTAAACCTTGACCTCAACCAGCCCTTTACCTCAACCTACCCTAACCTCAACTAACCCCAGTCTCTCCTAAGCTATATTACCTCAAAGCTTGCTTGAGACTGCGGACAACTACCATTGCAGTTCAGACTGAGGGTCTGTGTTATTGCTTTCAAGAAGTGTATTTGTCTCTGAAGGCTGAGATGATTCCCAATGAGTGTTGCTGCAGTGCATTCAGGCTCTGTTTCTCAGTGACAGTGTACCCTACTGCTCTGTGGATAGATCAAGGTTCATGTTGTAAATGTAAATGTTCATGTTGTAAATGTAAATGTAATGTTGTGGTGACTTACTGTCCTCTGCTGGTGTGTTCGTGAGGTTACCTTGTGAATGTATGAATTAGGCTGGTTACGATGGTTTGAATCTTAAGCAACCTGCCTACACATTGTTTGAAGTACAATAGACCAACATAGCTACTGTAGTAGGTCAATGCTGTGTGCTGGAAAACGTTGGTAGAGCATGGGTGAAGTACGCATTGTGGTGCTCATATGAATTTCCTTTCTTTTTCGGCTTGAGATCAATGACTACTTCTCACTTAAAACATAGTTTTTTGTTTCTAATTATATATTACTTAGTACCTTTTTGCAATTGTTTTCCCAATGTTGTTGTTCATTTGCATCCATTTTACTCTGGCGTTATCAGGAACATCTCACCCTTAATCGGGGGGTCGCTGTGTTGATTCACCGCCGGATGGAAGTCAGACGTCACTCCCATCAAGCCGCTTCCGCTCGCCTAGCCTCCCTGAATAATCATCCTCTCATCTCTCACTCTCCTCGCCTCCTCTCCTCTCCTCTCCTCCTTCCGCTACCTCCTCCTTCCTCTCCTCTCCTCTCCAACCTGTCAATCCAGAATACTAGTAACTCAAACCCTGCTGAGGTAGATTTAGAGGATGAGCCTTGGTATAAGTTCTTTGCTGAGCTGGAGTTTGGACGTCCGGTAAGTGAGGGCCTCTGTGGTTCTCTCCGTTAGCCGGCGCCATTAGGTGCTAGTGTATCGCCCCCTGGCTGCGGCTGCTAGCACTGCAGCCCCATGGTGGGGAATGTGTGGCCCTGTGCTAGACGTGTGCCCCAGTGGGATGAACGTGTTGTGCACTATTAGCATAATAGCATGTCACAGGCGTCCCAAATGACACCCTATTCCCTTTATAGTGCATTACCTTTGACCAGGGTCCATAGGGCTCTGGTCAAAAGTAGTGCACTATACAGGGAATAGGGTGTCATTTGGGACGTAACCACAGTGGTTGTGTTTGTTCCACTGATGAGGAAAATGCTTGACCTCTGTCTGAAGAGAGGCCAGAAATAACTGGCTGAAATGACTGGCTGAAATGGCTGGCTGAAATGACTGGCTGAAATGGGCAAAAAATATATATATAATTGACAATGATGATGATGTCGGTCCTCAGATGGGGATTGAAAATGTTATATTTCTGCTCAGTTCATCCAACATTTTAGCAACGTGTTGTGCCACCGACCTGTGGTGTGATTAGGCTTGTCGTTGTTTTACATGCTTGACTGGACCTCACTGCAGTAGGGTAGAGGCTGCACTGTTCACTGATGTGGAACGCATGTTTGCAATGATGTTGTCATTTAGCACAAGAGTGAATCACATGATCTATGGTGTGTAAAACTGCTTGTCATATACTCTTTGGACCTGCCTCATAGCAACCACTTGAGCACTCTGACAGCTTTCACCACAGAGATTGCATTTTCAATGTTCATTTGATTGCTTATGCATGTTTGACAGTAGCTTTTGATAGATCTTATTCATCCTTCCTTTTCTTCCTTTTGCTGTGTTTGGTGTGTGTGTGTGTGTGTGTGTGTGTTTGTTCACATTTGGACAAGCATTCACAAGTGTTTATTTCTTTGTACACACAAGAGTTGTGTAGGTGCAGGGCTTAGTGTGTGAGTGATCAGATCCTCTGATCTATAACCATGTAACTCTCTCCACATGTTCCTTCTCATTATGCCTCTGCCTCCTCTTCCTCCTCCTCATCTCCTCATTCTCTGCCTCTGGATTCAGCCTCCTAAAAAACGTCTGGATTATATAGTTGAGGTAAACACCATGCCACTGCATGCCTGTTATTCAGCCCCTACTGTTTCTGTGGAGAGTTACAGCAGCAGCAGTACATTAGCAGTAGCAGTAGTACTAGAAGTACAGCAGTAGTAGTAGAGGTACAGCAGTAGTAGTAGAGGTACAGCAGTAGTAGTAGAGGTACAGCAGTAGTAGTACAAGAGGTACAGCAGCAGTAGTAGAGGTACAGCAGCAGTAGTACAGAGGTACAGCAGCAGTAGTAGTAGAGGTACAGCAGTAGTACTAGAGGTACAGCAGCAGTAGTAGAGGTACAGCAGCAGTAGTAGTAGAGGTACAGCAGCAGTAGTACAGAGGTACAGCAGCAGTAGTATAGAGTACAGCCTAGTATAGAGGTACAGCAGAGTAGTAGCTAGTAGGTATAAGGTACAGCAGCAGTAGTAGTAGAGGTACAGCAGCAGTAGTAGAGGTACAGCAAGTTAGTAGTAGAGGTACAGCAGCTAGTAGTAGAGGTACAGCAGCAGTAGTAGTAGAGGTACAGCTAGTAGTAGCAGTAGTAGTAGTACTAGAGGTAAGCAGTCAGCAGCTAGTAGAGGTACAGCAAGTAGTAGAGTACAGTCCAGTAGTAGTAGAGGTACAGCAGTAGTAGTAGTATAGGTACAGCAGCAGTAGTATAGAGGTACAGCAGCAGTAGTAGAGGTCAGCAGCAGTAGTAGAGTAGCAGTAGTACTAGAGGTACAAGCAGTAGTAGTAGAGGTACAGCAGCAGTTAGAGTACAGCAGTATGTAGAGGTACAGCAGAGTAGTTAGGTCAGCAGCAGAGTACTAGAGGTACAGCAGCAGTAGTAAGAGGTACAGCGCAGTATAGAGGTACAGCAGAGTATAGAGGTACAGCAGCAGTAGTAGTAGAGGTACAGCAGCAAGTAGTAGAGGTACAGCAGTGCAGCAGTAGTAGTGCTAGAGGTACAGCAGCAGTAGTAGAGGTACAGCAGCAGTAGTAGAGGTACAGCAGCGAGTAGAGCAGAGTAGTAGTAGTAGTATGTCACATATAGTAGGTACAGCAGTAGTAGTAGAGGTACAGCAGCAGTAGTAGAGGTACAGCAGCAGTTAGTAGTAGTAGAGGTACAGCAGTCAGTATAGGTCAGCTAGTAGTAGTACTAGAGGTACAGCAGTAGTAGTAGAGGTACAGCAGTAGTAAGGTCACGTAAGTAGTAGGAGTAAGCGCAGTAGTAGAGGTACAGCAGTAGTAAGAGCGGTAAGAGGTACAGCAGAGTAGTAGAGGTCAGCAGTAGTCTAGTAGGGTACAGTAGGACAGTAGTAGTAGAGGTACACAGTAGTAGTAGAGGTACAGCAGTAGTAGTAGAGGTACAGCAGCAGTAGTAGAGGTACAGCAGTAGTAGTAGAGGTACAGCAGTAGTAGTAGAGGTACAGCAGCAGTGTAGGTACAGAGAGTATAGAGGTACAGCAGTAGTAGTAGAGGTACAGCAGTATAGTAGTACAGTAGTAGTATACAGCAGCAGTGTAGAGGTCAGCAGTTAGTAGAGGTACAGTCAGTAGTAGTAGAGGTACAGTAAGCAGTAAGTAGTATGAGGTACAGCAGTAGTAGTAGAGGTACAGCAGTAGTAGTAGAGGTACAGCAGTAGTAATAGAGGTACAGCAGTAGTAGTAGAGGTACACAGTAGTAAGTAGAGTAGTAGTAGAGGTACAGCAGTCAGTAGTAGAGGTACAGCAGTAGTAGATGTACAGTAGCAGGGGTACAGTAGTAGATGTACAGTAGAGAAGTACAGTATAAGTACAGTGTAAGTACAGAGTAGAAGTACAGAGTAGAGTACAGTAGAAGTACAGAGTAGAGTACAGTAGAATACAGAGTAGAGTACAGTAGTAGCAGTACAGTAGTAGCAGTACAGTCAGTAGAAGTACAGTAGTAGAAGTACAGTAGTAGCAGTACAGTAGTAGCAGTACAGTAGTAGCAGTACAGTAGTAGAAGTACAGTAAAGTAGCAGTACAGTAGTAGAAGTACAGTAGTAGCAGTATCAGTATAGCATACAGTAGTAGTCAGTCAGTAGAGAAGTACAGTAGTAGGCAGTAGAAGCAGTACAGCAGCAGCAGTACAGTAGCAGCAGTACAATAGTTGAGGTACAGCAGTAGGAGTACAGTAGTAGAAGTACAGTAGTAGCAGTACAGCAGTAGTAGTACAGCAGTAGAAGCAGTACAGTAGTAGAGGTACAGTAGTAGAAGTACAGTAGTAGAAGTACAGCAGTAGAAGTACAGTAGTAGCAGTACAGCAGCAGCAGTGCCCCAACTGGCGCTGGAAGTACTCTCAGGAAGGGCTGAAACTACCCTCGGAAGGGCCTTGAAGTCTATTTTACTCCAAAGAACACAGTCACCCATTGTTTGTTTTGTTTTTCATTTTCATAGCATTTCATAGTCATGTCATTGATTCATAGCAGTAGCTTAACAGGCAAGTCAGTTGTTAAGGCAACAGCCATTGTCAACAGAATGTCAACTGCCATGTTTGCTTTTGAGAATATTACATTATATCGTTTGATAATGTTTATAGTCTATATGTCTTAGCTAGAGACAGTATTAGTTATAGCTCAGCATTTAGGACCTCTGCTTTGGTTCAAAAGGCTCTGACAGAGACCTTTATGTGGACATGTTTCCTACAATATCATGTTACATACTGAACAAAAATATAAACGCAACATGTAAAGTTTTGGTCCCATATTTCATGAGCTGAAATAAAAGATCACGGACATTTTCCATACCCACAAAAAGCTAATTTCTCTCAAATTATGTGCACAAATTTGTTTACATCCCTGTTAGTGAGCATTTCTCCTTTGCCAAGATAATCCATCCACCTGACAGGTGTGGCATATCAAGAAGCTAATTAAACAGCATGATCATTACACAGGTGCACCTTGTGCTGGGGACAATAAAAGGCCACTCTAAAATGTGCAGTTTTGTCACACAGCACAATGCCACAGATTATCAAGTTTTGAGGGAGTGTGCAGTTGGCATGCTGACTGCAGGGATGTCCACCAGAGCTGTTGCCAGAAAATGTAACGTTAATTTCTCTACCATAAGCCGCCTCCAACGTCATTTTATAAAACTTGGCAGTACGTCCAACCAGCCTCACAATCGCAGACCATGTGTAACCACGCCAGCCCAGGACCTCCACATCCGGCTTCTTCAGCTGCGGGTTCGTCTGAGACCAGCCTGCCGGAGAGATTATGAAACTGAGGAGTATTTATGTCTGTAATAAAGCCCTTTTGTGTGGAAAAACTAATTCTGATTGGCTGGGCCTGGCTCCCCAGTGGGTGTGCCTATGGCTGCGCCCCTGTCCAGTGATGTGAAATCCATAGAATAAGGCCTAATGAATTTATTTTAATTGACTGATAACCTTATATGAACTGTAACTCAGTATAATTGAAATTGTTGCATGTTGTGTTTATATTTTTGATCAACATATTTCCAGTTTCACCCACATTTTTTCTGACGAGGTAAAATAGCTTATTTTACTCTTTTGTCTGCCAGTGAATGTTACGGTAACTTCTTTGAGATAACATCACAAATAAGGATTTAAAGACTGTAAGGTAGGATTTGTTTATTTGAAATGTCAGTTAGGGGGAAAGTACTACATAGGTACATTGTTGATTTGCCATATGCAATATCGTACTACACAGGCAGTGTGGTGAATATCACTCCTGAGTATACAGCGTTGTCTGTTTTCTGTATATAGACCAAGATTTCTATGTATCTCATACCTTACAAAGTAGCTATTGTATTATACGAATATATAAGTTACACACTCATCTCAAATAATACCAATTTACATGGTCATTAAATGAATTATATGTTGAATATATTGGAGGAAGGCACAGAAGTTATGTCAGGAGGTAGGTAGCTAGGAGGCTGTATAATCAACCATAGCGCTTCCTGGACCTGAGACAGATCATCATGGGGATTCCTGGCCCGTCCAGTGACGTGTTTGCCTGTGAGGTTGCTGTCACTTAGAACAGTATTTATGTTTACCGGTCACCAATCTGTCACAGCGATGCTCCATTCCTGGCACCCGGCATCAGGTCTACTTTAAAAAATGAGCGGGGCTCTGTTGGGCAGAGAGAGAAAGAGACGGCTAATGAACTATTACGAGGCTTCTGCCTCAGTAGCAGGGAGAATGGTGATCTTCTCCAGCCAGGCATATAAGGAGTTCCCTGCCTTGTTCGATATTGAAACTCTCGTAAGTGAATCATCGCTCTAGGTTTTTGACAGGGAAAGATACCCTTTTCACAGTGACAGAAACCAAAGAAAAATTGTAAAGGTTGAAGTTGGAGGGTGTTTAATTCAGTATTTCATGGATGTTTCCAAAGTTGCATTTGAGAGGTGGATTGTTGTCATCCAGCGTAGCTGGTCACTTCTCCCCTGCAAGCCTTGTGTTCTCAGACAGAGGCTGCTGGGTATAGTAGGTTTCTGAAGGAGCTCTGTTTGTTTTCAGTCTGTCTGTTCACTCGAGCTGCTCTCTGCTCACTTTCAGAGTTCCCACCAACACGCCTCTGCAGACAGAAACACGGACAGGCCGTCAAGGTAAGTCAGATCCCTCCCTCTCTATTAAACAACCATTGATTCTCGAGAGTCTATAGCAAATTACGATGACACATTTTAAACCAAATGAACCAGATTCTTTGCTTTACGTGGAGTTTGTCAGGCAGCACCGTACTCAGTGTACTGTATATATGGAGCGGTGTGCTCTGAGTGGGACAGCTGGAATAGCCATGCCCTTGAGTGCTGTCAACTCAGACATGAATCTCAGCCCCCCGCCACCTCTTCCACTGTGACCAGCCAAGGCCAATCTATACTTGTCATGACTCCACAGCTCTCTGTGGGTGTACTGTAATACATATTAACTGTAACTGTATGCATACAGTCAGCAGACAACTGTTATCTGAAGAAGAGTTGTTGATGAGGCTCACATTCACAGCCTCATAGTGGAGAATTATGTTTCATCCCATGGGGAGGATTGGTTTGTGTGTGGACTACTGGTCATTTTAAAGACCCATTAGGGGGCATGTTGTTGTTGGGCAAAATAACAGTAAACCGAAGTTGATGATGTATGAAAAAAATAATGTAAGCACTTTACTGTTGGTCTATTTTGATTCCAATACCAGTTAGCTTGAATGAATGTGTGACAGACTCAGGACCTAACCTATCTATCTGTGTCCACAGCTCAACCAGTGACTACAGGAAGAGGAGGAAGTCCGAGCTAGCGGCCCAGCAGCCAAGACCAGCCATCATCCTGACCACCAGCCACAGTACATCCAGCAGCCTGCCAGGGCCCAATAGTACCACCAGCCAGAACCCAGTCTCCTGGCCTGTAGAACCCCCCCGTAGCAGCAGTTACAGCAGCGGCCTCAACTCCTCAGGACGGCCCTCTGAACCCCCACGTAGCAGCAGTTACAGCAGCGGTCTCCGCAAGCCTGTGGCAAGCTCCTCCCCTGCCTCCCCCTCCAGAGCCAAAGGTAGGTCCCAGCAACACACCACTTCTGAACCACACTGGTTTGGTAGAACTGGGAGAAGACAGATACTGACACAGACAGTATCAACAGTCACTTAGACTGTTTTATTTCTTTCAATTCAAAAAGCAGTGTAATGTTCGGCTTGAATGAGAAGTTTAAAGTGTAGTGCATGCTTTGTGCGTTAATCTATGAGTGCTATAGAACAAAGTACTTTATTTCCTCTGTGTACTATTTCCTCTCTGTGGCTAACAACTGTCTGTCACCCTGCTATGTATCGACATTAGATTCTTATCAGCCTTTTTTTATTGTGTTTCTCTGAGTGTCTCTCTAACCCCCTCTGTCCTCAGCTCTTACTGGCTGGTTTCCACATGAACCTGTTAATGTCTTCTCATGTCTCTCTCTTACCATGCTGCTCTTGGTGGATATACCTTAAGGTGGGGATATTAGCAACACATACTCAGCCCATTTCAGTTGTCCAGGTTCCAACCACAATACCTCACATGACTCAGTGTTTCCTTGTCTTAATGATGAGGCTGTTGACTGTGTTGAGCCTCCTGAGGGCTCTGGTGTGTGTCTGAAGAACGGCTGGCAGGCTCATGACCAAATCCAGAACGTTGAGGCCTGGAGCTCTGCCGAGGAAAAGCCAGCCTCTCCCAAACTCAAGTCCTGGAGCTGTGACAACCTCCTGACGGAAGATAGAGGATGTCCAGGAGGTTCTGTAGGTCCACAGGTTCGCTCAGAGAGTGTAGACTTCCTGTCACGTGAGCAGAAGGAGGGCAAGGATCACAGCGTCTGTGACAGCCCCCAGAAAGAGCGGACCCAGCACCACTCGGCCCATGATGCACCAGGCTTCCTCAAGCTGTACAAGAAGATGCACCACATCAACAGGCAGGATCTGATAGGCTCCCAGAGCTCCCAGGTCATCTGCTCTGTGAAAGCCCGGATCCTGGAGTACGAGAGCGAGCTGCACAAGGACCGGCTGACCGGCTGGAGGGGCTACAGCGAAGAAGTGCCCCAGGACATGGTGCACGACAGGATCTCTGAGTTCGAGAGTCTCATCCAGAAGTCCAAGTCCATGCCCAACCTAGGGGGTGGGGGTGAGGGTGAGGCTACCCCAGGGGGCCCGTCGGGGAGGGGCAGCAGCCCCCAGCGACGCTTCTCCATCGAGTCCCTGCCCGACAAAGACCCCCCTGCCAGGAACCCCCCTGAGGGCCAGCCACACTACCCCAGGATCAACGCCCACACTACTCACAACACCCACAACTGTGTGCCCATCCACATCCAGATCACTGGAGACCACCACCACGTCTACCCCCAGAGACCAGCCTCCCAGCAGGAAGTGTACTCAGACAGTGACCACGACGCTATCAGGTCCAACCTCAGTGACTTCATCCAGATAGAGGGATCTTCCTTCTGTAGCGAGAGTGACTACGACCGCTGCTCTCGGACGTCTTCTGAGAGCCCTTACGGCTCAGGCCACCATCACCATCACCACCACCGTCATCATAACCTTAACCATAACCAGCAGAAGCACCTGGTCAGCAACTGTAAGGGCCGATGCCCTGCCTCCTACACACGCTTCACCACCATGCTCAAACACGAGAGGGCCAAGCAGCTAACAGCCGAGGACCCAGAATCAGCTCAGTCCAAGCTGGCCTTCCTGGTGAGTCCGGTACCATTCAGGAGGAAGAGGGGCTCCCCTCCGCACAGCCACAGGCAGGCCGGCTCCACCCGCAGCAGGCCCCCTCCCCGCTATAAGAGCTCCATGTACGAGGCGCTGGACGAGGCCCTGTGGGACATCTATGAACACATCCGGGCCGAGAGGAGGAGGGGCAGCCTGCCTGACAACAGTATCCTCCACAGGCTCCTGGACGAGCTGCTGCCAGACATCCCAGAGAGGAGCTCCTCCCTCAGGGCCCTGTGCAGACACAGCCCCATCCCTGGGCCCCAGAGTCTGGAGCAGGAGCAGCCTTACTCCTCTCAGCCTGATGGCATGCCCAGCCCAGCCTGCTACCAGCCTGAGTATAGCCGCCTCTCACACAGTGCCTCCTATCACCTCACAGACCCCAACAACAACAGCCATGTCTGTGAAGAAGACTGCTACCAAGGTGGATGGTTCTCATAAACACACCTCCCACCTCCCATCTCCCCAGACCCACCTCTTTCTCACCCTACGGGTCGTTGTAGAGTGCTGTAGTTTGAGTTCATTCCATTTCCACTGCTGTCCCCTGCACCACTACCATTCTCCACCCGTCTTGTGAGCATTGTTCTTGAGTAGTGACCTGTCAGTGGTTCCATCTTCTGGAATGTCTGAGAAGCATGATTCCCTCCAGCAAGTCATCCCACCCTAACTCTGTTGTATTCATCAAGTCATCCCCCCTAACTCTATTGTATTCATCAAGTCATCCCCCCCTAACTCTGTTGTATTCATCAAGTCATCCCCCCTAACTCTGTTGTATTCATCAAGTCATCCCCCCTAACTCTGTTGTATTCATCAAGTCATCCCCCCCTAACTATGTTGCATTCATTCTTGCAGGTTATTCATATTTTCTCATATGATGTTGGTTATTTTTTCTCCCCAACATTTGTCTTTTTTTTAATGTATTCTGCCATCATTATTTTATGTCATCATTGGAAGTTAGCCTCTTCGCTCCGGGAGAGCTGTACACATGGTCTGGTCTCTGGTTGACCTATTTCTGAGAAACATTTCCCGTCACCTAGAATCTGGAATGCCGTACCAGTCGATACGGGCGATACAGTGTGTGAAAATAAACCTTTATAAGGCATTCGTGTGCTTGAGTCTTTGTCCACAGCTCAGTCAACATGAAGCACACCACAGGACTACTCTATAGAGATGCATCCGTGTGTCTCGTCTAAAAACTTCTGCTAATAGAAATAGCAGGGGACATGTGACTGGAGAGCAGCTGAGGTGGGCAGTCTAAAAAGGGTTCTGTGGGATGTTGGTATGGGGAGAGACAGAGACTCCTCTCCTATAAATGTGCATCTGTTTTTTCTCAGAGGAGAGATGGGGTATATCAATCTGTGTGTCTGCTTTATAGCACGTAGTAGGATTATTTTTGTCTGTATCCTGTCTGTGGTTTTGGCACAGCACATAGTGTGTCTGTTCCTACTGGTGGGAGAAATATCTAATAGCTGTTGGCCTGATTATTGAAACTCCATTTGCAGGACCATTGAGCAGAGTATGCAGGCCCACTTTTACTTGACAAACGATCCCAAGCAGAGAGAGGTTTTCTGGCAGCAGTCCCCACTAAGACCACATCAGCACCCAGAGCTGAGCTGCAGTATAAATACTTGTGGGTGGCAGGTGGCCTAGCGGTTAAGAGAGTTGGGCCAGTAACTGAAAGGTTGCTGGTTCGAATCCCTGAACCGAATAGGTGAGAAATCTGTCGATGTGCCCTTGAGCAAGGCACTTAACCCTAATTGGTCCTTTACACGGAGTGTACAAAACATTAGGAACACCTTCCTAATGTTGAGTTGCACCTCCCCCCTTTTGCCCTTAGAACAGCCTCAAATCGTCGGGGCATGGACTCTACACGGGGTCGAAAGCGTTCCACAGGGATGCTGACCCATGTTGACTCCAATGCTTCTCACAGTTGTGTCAAGTTAGCTGGATGTCCTTTGGGTGGTGGACCATTCTTGATACACACGGGACTGTTGAGCGTGAAAAACCCAGCAGCGTTGCAGTTCTTGACACAAACCGGTGCGCCTGGCACCTACTACCATACCCCGTTCAAAGGCACTTAAATATTTTGTCTTGCCCATTCACCCTCTGAATGGCACACATACACAACCATAGCTTTCACCTGGATTCACCTGGTCAGTCTATGTCATGGAAAGAGCATGTGTTCCTAATGTTTTGTACACTCCGTGTAAGTCGCTCTGGATAAGAGCGTATGCTAAATGACTAAAATGTAAATGTCCATCCAGGGTGTTTGTTTCTGCTGGATATAAATGTTATTGTTTAGATGGAGCTTTGGAGTCATTGAGAGAGACAGGCTCGCTACGGAAAATAATGTACGTCAACATAACTGGATACATTTGTATGGCACCCTATACCCTACTCATGGTCTACTGGCCTTAAAGAGAGCTGGAGGGAATACAGTAGAGGACAGGGCTCTATACCTTTCTGAAGTGGAGGGTGGTCGAGTTGACAGTCTGTTACCCATACCATACAGTAGGTTAGATAAGTGTTTATATTTTTTCTGTCGTTTTATTTTGATTAATCTCATTATTTAGCTAAGAGACCTCTTTTTGATACTCTCATACCCTTGCCATCGACTCCTCCCTTGCATGTTAAGTGTCTGTAGCGTCTGTTCCTCTCTGTTCCTCACTGTGGCCTTCTCTCCCTCTCTCACAGACCAGGAACCCTCCAGGGGCCACTCCTACGCTGATGGGGGCCGCCACCCCCCCCAGAGCAGGATGCCAACCCCTGAAGTCAGAGAGGTAAACAATTATATTTGGCCTCTGATTATATTCAACACTGATAGAGGGATGCAATGATTTATTGTTTCTTTCCATGCCCTCAACGGAAACAGCCAGCCAGAGCCATATATGACTTCAAGGCACAGACAGTGAAGTAAGTACAGATCAAACACAACATTTGCTAGTATTTCAGATGAATACAACAATGGCATATCCCTCAGCCATGACACTAATGGTCCATGTGTTGTGCAGGGAGCTGTCGTTCAGGAAGGGGGAGACGGTGTACATCGTCAGGCAGATCGACAACAACTGGTATGAAGGAGAGCACCGTGGACTGGTGGGGATCTTCCCCATCTCCTATGTGGAGGTTAGTGTCTGCTCTCTACTCTCCTCTCCTCTTGTCCTCGCTCATCTCTCCTCTCTTCCTCTCTCCTCTCCTCTCTTCCTCTCTCCTCTCCTCCTGTTCTCTCTCTTCTTCTGGCTGTCTCAATGTGGGTTTTCAATGCACACTATTGAATAACTTTGAGTTCATATTTGTCCCATATCCTGAACCCACAGCCTATCTCTCTCTCTCTCTCTCTCTTTATTCTTTAGAAAATCCCTGTCTGTAAGAAGCAGCAGCCAGCCAGACCTCCCCCGCCAGCCCAGGTCAGAGAGATTGGTGAAGCAGTGGCTCGCTACAACTTCAACGCTGACACCAACGTGGAGCTCTCACTGAGAAAGGCAAGTCTCTCCGCTGTCACTGCATAACTTTGACTCTCAAATAGTCTGACTGTATATAATTCTCATCCCCTCAGTGTCTACAATTAAACAGACTTATATCTGTGTGTGTCTGTCTGACAGGGTGAGAGGGTGATTCTGCTGAGCCAGGTGGACCAGAACTGGTATGAGGGGAAAATCCCAGAGAGCAACAAGCAGGGCATCTTCCCCGTGTCCTACGTAGACGTAGTGGTCAAGAAGTCCCCCGCCGCCAACAACCCCGCCCACCACTACCTAGAACCCTCCTCTTTACCCCAGAGCCTATCCGCTGACAGGATTCACCCTGTGGGCTCGGCCAAGGTACAATGATCCCAAATGGCACCCTATTCTGTATATAGTGCACTACTTTTGACCAGAGCCCTATAGGCCTTGGTCCATAGTAGTGCACCGTAAAGGGAATGAGGTGCCATTTAGAAGGCATACAATATATCCACTTGGCATTTACAATCTACCGTCAGACTACCGGTCTTATATAGCTCGTGAATGTACTGCATGTGACTTTTAGTAAGTGATCGGTTTTGAAGAGAGGCATAGTAGAGTACTTTGTCTCAGTTAGAACATTCTAGAACTAAGGGTGGTCTTCTCAGCTGTCTTGTTATGCATATATTAGCATTGGGGAGCTGTTGTCCTAGCGTGACAATAGGATACGCTTCTTACACCAGCCACCAATCCATCAGGCTTCTTACACCAGCCACCAATCCATCAGGCTTCTTACACCTGCCACCAATCGTTATGGTTTAGTCTAACTCAATCCTCGACAAACCCACACTGTACACACACTGAGTTTCTCTACGTTTAAAAGGGCCATAGGTTGAGAGGGGAGATTTGTGATGGCGACACCATGACATTCATTGTGGAAGCCTTGGTTTCCATTAACCTGCTTAATAGAGACCTCTGTGGGTGGGAGAGCTACCAGCTGCTGCTTCTCCAATAAGACGTGACAGGCCCAGTTCACATTTCACACTTCATCCACAGACTTGGCAGCAACAGGGCAGGCTGCACTAGTTTAGTCACACTGTCATTGCTATCTGGGATCCTTGGGATGTCCCAACCCCATTGAAGTTGACATTTAAAATGGTTACGGTAAGGGTTAAGTTTAGGGTTACGTAAGGGTTATGGTTAAGGTAAGGATTAGGATAAGGGTAGGGTTTAAGGTTAGGGTTTAGGGTAAGGACCAGGGTGGGAAATTAACACCAACCACCAGCCACCAGCCAAATGCTGGTAGATTTTGGCATTGGCTGGTAGAATGTCTATGTTTACCAGCCACATTGGCGAGTGGTCACAGAGCATTTGGGAGCATCTTTCTCCAATCCAAAATTCCACATGTATAAAAGTGTGTGTGTGTGGGAGCTCTGAAAGAGAGAATCTCAATGCTACAGTGGTGAAAACGGAGTGGCGTACAGTGTTTTCTGGGATTTATCTTAGTTATTTATTTTTGGTCAAATTTGGGCATCAGATAGCACTAACCCCCAGGTAAGCCTCTGTATCTTTAGCACCTGTCTCTTTATGTGTCAGTGACCTCAAATAACCTGACTGGAGTAGAGTCAACATTGGTAAATAGATTTCAGAAACAACAACAGTCTCTGTCCTATACATTCTGACCTGGCCATTCCCCTCACGTTCTGTTCTGCCATATGTTTCTGTACTCTCTCTCTTTTTCTCCCAAGCCTTCATCCACGCGCTCTCGCTTCAGTCCCTCCTCGCCTTCCCTCTCCTTCAGGACACCCCGCTCCTCCCTGTCCTCATCCCCCTCCCCCAGTACCCAGAGGGCCCACCTGCAGGCTATCACCAATGATTGGATAAACCTGACCCTGGGCCTATCCCCTTCCTGCACCCCAGCCCCCACTCCTCCCCCGTACCCTAACAGCAGCCTGCTGGCCGACCTGGAGGCCCTCAGCACCCTGGTGTCCCCCTCCCCCTATCCAGCCCCCGGCCATCGCCTGGTATCCCCCTCCCCAGCCCCCACCTTTGGATCCGTCCCCTCGACACCACGCAACCTCACCCCTTCCCTCAGAGAGGGCCACTTTATCCCCATCACCTCCCCCAAGGCTCCCATCTACCCCTGCTCCCCAGAACCCAGCCCCTCCCCGCTACCCTCCCTCCCCACCACCTCTGGCGGCACCTCTTTCACCTCATCACCCACCTCTCCCATGTTTTGGAGCCCCAAGTATGGCAGCGTGGTCGACTTGTCTCAGATTCAGAACAACACCAGCATCAAGCCAATAATAGACTCACAACAGGAGAAACCGTTCGACCCCCTCTCAGACCCAGCGGCCCTGTCGCCCACCTCCCCAAAGGCCTGCAGTCCCATCAATCTGGTGGTGTACGAGCCCAGCGACTGCCCCTCTCACACCGACCCCCCATCTCAACGCGAGAACATAGTAGAGCTAAATCAGTTTATCTCTACGGAGCACAATCTCTCCACTAAAGAGATTAATCAGTTCATGGATAACAACCTCTCCACTAAAGAGATTAATCAGTTCATGGAGGACTCCATTAAAGACCAGGTAGTGGACCAGGAACAGGAAGATGACCTTTGTGAGGAGCTGGTGTCCATCATTCAGGGGGGTGACCAATCCAAAGGGGACTTTTCTTCCCAGGGGGAGGGGTTTTACAGACAAGCATCAGACGTGACGGAGGAGCTTCCCAAGCTCTTCATAGAGGAGGAGCCTGCTGAGAGCAGGCAGATGGCCCCACCTTATAATACCTTTACCCCTGTGTGTAGAGAAGGGGCAGAACAGGACAAGGTAGAGCCCTCCCTGGTGTGACCTGTGTGTCCTAACCTGACAATGCTGTGCAAACGTTTTTGCTTCCACTAACCCAACATTAACTTATTTTAAATTTGAGGCAACTTTTTTCCAACTGATTTTTTTCTGAAAGAAAGAATGGATTCTTGTTATGTCTGGTTAGCCAGATTGTTATGTCTGGTTAGCCAGATTGTTATGTCTGGTTAGCCAGATTGTTATGTCTGGTTAGCCAGATTGTTATGTCTGGTTTGTTTGCCACTCTCAAAATAGAACTTAGATGGGTGTGTGTGTGTAGCCCGTAACACACTTTTCCTTTTGGTCTCTCTGTCACCAGGCCGATGTTTCTCAGGGTGCCTCTGTACGCCTCACCTCCCCTCCCTCCCAGCAGTTCACCATCTCCACCCTCCCCACCTCGACCACCTCACCCAAAACCTTGTCTCCCCTCGACTCTCCCTGCACCACCCCTCCACTTCCGGGGGTGCTACACTCTCCCTCTCCCTATAACAAACAGTACCCCCGCCTGGAGCCTAGGTCCCCCAAGGTCAAGGTAAAGACAAGGTGCCTGTTTGACATCATGTCATGACAACTAACTCCTCCCCTTCCCCAAATTCTCCTCTCTAACAATAACATACTGTAACATCCTCGCTAAGTTACTGACTACGCCTATAACCCTTACTTCACTCTATTCTCTGTGGTACTGATACTGTCTTTAGTTTTTAGTTCTCTTTACTTTACACTGTCATCTTTGGTCAGTACTGCTATTGGTTGGTTCATAAATACAGGACTATGTTACAATACTACTGTAACATGCTTAGTCTAGATAAATGAATCACTGTATGTTAGGTAACAGATCTTTAAACAGTTGCAGTTCTATAAAATGGTTGAAAAGTAAGTAACATGGCTGCCAGAGAGTCCTTGTATACTAATTTTTGTTTTCACTCCAAGGCCGTATCCACAAAGCATCTCAGAGTAGAAGTGCTGATCTAGGATTTGTCCAGATAATCTGATTTATTATTAACTTAAAGGCAAAACTGATCCTAGATCAGCACTCCTACTCTGAGACCCTTTGTGGATACGGGCCCAGGTCTCATACCAGTCTCCTCCTAGCATAGATATTACTCTTACTGTCATTAAAGGTAGACTCAGCGATATGAAGTAGATCCGTAATGTAAACGGCATAGTGGGTCAACTCTAACAGCGTGAAGCGAACACGTGCACATGCGCAGATACTGTGTTTGACTTGTGAGAGCGAAGTCTTGCATCTCGCTCATTTCAATATCTGCAGTGCTGCTCGTGAGTCTACCTTTAAATTAGCTTTAGAAGCTTTCCTTTCTCACCCCTTGCAGACGGACTAAATACAGTTGAAGTCGGAAGTTTACATACACTTAGGTTGGAGTCATTAGAAATTCGTTTTCCAACCACGCCACAAATGTCTTGTTAACAAACTATAGTTTTGGCAAGTCGGTTAGGACATCTACTTTGTGCATGACACAAGTTATTTTTCCAACAATTGTTTACAGACAGATTATTTCACTTATAATTCACTGTATCACAATTCCAGTGGGTCAGAAGTGTACAGACACTAAGTTGACTGTGCCTTTAAACAGCTTGGAAAATTCCAGAAAATGATGTAATGGCTTTAGAAGCTTCTGATAGGCTAATTGACATCATTTGAGTCAATTGGAGGTGTACCTATTATTATAATAATAATAATAATAATAATAATATGCCATTTAGCAGACGCTTTTATCCAAAGCGACTTACAGTCATATGTGCATACATTTTTACGTATGGGTGGTCCCGGGGATCAATCCCACTACCCTGGCGTTACAAGCGCCATGCTCTACCAATTGAGCTACAGAGGACCACATACCTGTCGATGTATTTCAAGGCCTACCTTCAAACTCAGTGCCTCTTTGCTTGACATCATGGGAAAATCAAAAGAAATCAGCCAAGACCTCAGAAAAAAATGTGTACACCTCCACAAGTCTGGTTCATTCTTGGGAGCAATTTCCAAACGCCTGAAGGTACCACGTTCATCTGTATTAACAATAGTACGCAAGTATAAACACCATGGGACCACGCAGCCGTCATACCGCTCAGGAAGGAGACGCGTTCTGTCTCCTAGAGATGAACGTACTTTGCTGCGAAAAGTGCAAATCAATCCCAGAACAACAGCAAAGGACCTTGTGAAGATGCTGGAGGAAACAGGTACAAAATTATCTATATCCACAGTAAAACGAGTCCTATATCGACATAACCTGAAAGGCCGCTCAGCAAGGAAGAAGCCACTGCTCTAAAACCGCCATAAAAAAGCCAGACTACGGTTTGCAACTGCACATGGGGACAAAGATCATACTTTTTGGAGAAATGTCCTCTGGTCTGATTAAACAAACATAGAATTGTTTGGCCATAATGACCATTGTTATGTTTGGAGTAAAAAGGGGGAGCTTGCAAGCCGAAGATAACCATCCCAACCGTGAAGCACGGGGGTGGCAGCATCATGCTGTGGGGGTGCTTTGCTGCAGGAGGGACTGGTGCACTTCACAAAATAGATGGCATCATGAGGAAGGAAAATTATGTGGATATATTGAAGCAACGTCTCAAGACATCAGTCAGGAAGTTAAAGCTTGGTCGCAAATGGGTCTTCCAAATGGACAATGACCCCAAGCATACTTCCAAAGTTGTGGCAAAATGGCTTAAGGACAACAAAGTCAAGGTATTGGAGTGGCCATCACAAAGCCCTGACCTCATTCCTATAGAAAATTTGTGGGCAGAACTGAAAAAGCGTGTGCGTGCAAGGAGGCCTACAAACCTGACTCAGTTACACCAGCTCTGTCAGGAGGAATGGGCCAAAATTTACCCAACTTATTGTGGGAAGCTTGTGGAAGGCTACCCGAAACGTTTGACCCAAGTTAAAAAATGTAAAGGCAATGCTACCAAATACCAATTGAGTGTATGTAAACTTCTGACCCACTGGGAATGTGATGAAAGAAATAAAAGCTGAAATAAATCATTCTCTTTACTATTATTCTGACATTTCACATTCTTAAAATAAAGTGGTGATCCTAACTTACCTAAAACAGGGAATTTTTACTAGAATTAAATGTCAGGAATTGTGAAAAACTGAGTTTAAATGTATTTGGCTAAGGTGTATGTAAACTTCCGACTTCAACTGTATACTGCTGCTTCATACAGAGCTGGGAGACAGAGAACACCAAAGATGGTTACATTTCAAACTTATCAGTTACACAGTAAGATATATATGATCTGGTTTAATGCACAATATAATTTTATAGAAATAGTGTTTAACTTTGATGACAAGTTTGGTTCCCCAGTTGTTGCCTGTTAATCCCCTGGTATGTCCTTTTGTGTGAGTGTGTGAGTGTGTGTGTGTGTGTGTGTGTGATCAGAGTGGTAAGAGTGTATGTTTGAGTAGTCTTCTCTGATTGTAACTCCTGGTTGTGGTCCTTTCAGCCTGTAAAGCGTGAGGTTGTTGTTGTGGGTAAGCCCCCTCGTAGCCCTGTGATGTCTCGGAGGTCCTGCGGCTCGCCCAGTAGAGCCCAGAGCTATTCCCCGTCTCATAGGGTAGGGCTGCTACCCACTATGCACCTTGTGTGACATCATCGTACGTTTGAGTTACTAGGAAACAGAGTCCTCTTTAAAGTTCATTTATCCCGTCGTTACTGTTCATATTTCATCAACATATCTACCACATATATACAACACTCTCACACATATGGTCTGTAAAAATACAACCTCCTAGATATGAAGAGATTAATACAGTGCCTTGCAAAAGTATTCATCCCCCTTGGCGTTTTTCCTATTTTGTTGCATTACAACCTGTAATTTAAATGGATCTTTATTTGTATTTCATGTAATGGACATACACAAAATAGTCCAAATTGGTGATGTGAAATGAAAAAAATTACTTGTTTCAAAACATTCAAAAAAATTAATAACGGAAAAGTGGTGCGTGCATATGTATTCACCCCCTTTGCTATGAAGCCCCTAAATAAGATCTGGTGCAACCAATTACCTTCAGAAGTCACATAATTAGTTAAATAAAGTCCCCCTGTGTGCAATCTAAGTGTCACATGATCTGTCATATGATCTCAGTATATATACACCTGTTCTGAAAGGCCCCATAGTCTGCAACACCACTAAGCAAGGGGCACCACCAAGCAAGCGGCACCATGAAGACCAAAGAGCTCTCCAAAGTTGTGGAGAAGTACAGATCAGGGTTGGGTTATAAAAAAATATCAGAAACTTTGAACATCCCACGGAGCACCATTAAATCCATTATTAAAAAATGGAAAGAATATGGCACCACAACAAACCTGCCAAGAGAGGGCCGCCCACCAAAACTCACGGACCAGGCAAGGAGGGCACTAATCAGAGAGGCAACAGAGAGACCAAAGATAACCCTGAAGGAGCTGCAAAGCTCCACAGCGGAGATTGTAGTATCTGTCCATAGGACCACTTTAAGCCGTACACTCCACAGAGCTGGGCTTTACGAAAGAGTGGCCAGAAAAAAGCCATTGCTTAAAGAAAAAATAAGCAAACACGTTTGGTGTTCGCCAAAAGGCATGTGGGAGACTCCCCAAACATATGGAATAAGGTACTCTGGTCAGATGAGACAAAAATTGAGCTTTTTGGCCATCAAGGAAAACACTATGTCTGGCGCAAACCCAACACCTCTCATCACCCTGAGAACACCATTTCCACAGTGAAGCATGGTGGTGGCAGCATCATGCTGTGGGGATGTTTTTCATCGGCAGGGACTGGGAAACTGGTCAGAATTTAACGAATGATGGATGGCGCTAAATACAGGGAAATTCTTGAGGGAAACCTGTTTCAGTCTTCCAGAGATTTGAGACTGGGACGGAGGTTCACCTTCCGGCAGGACAATGACCCTAAGCATACTGCTAAAGCAACACTTGAGTGGTTTAAGGGGAAACATTTAAATGTATTGGAATGGCCTAGTCAAAGCCCAGACCTCAATCCAATTGAGAATCTGTGGTATGACTTAAAGATTGCTGTACACCAGCGGAACCCATCCAACTTGAAGGAGCTGGAGCAGTTTTGCCTTGAAGAATGGGCAAAGATCCCAGTAGCTAGATGTGCCAAGCTTATAGAGACATACCCCAAGAGACTTGCAGCTGTAATTGCTGCAAAAGGTGGCTCTACAAAGTATTGACTTTGGGGGGGTGAATAATTATGCACACTCAAGTTTTCAGTTTTTTTGTCTTACAAGAAAAAAGGTTTTGCATCTTCAAAGTGGTAGGCATGTTGTGTAAATCAAATTATACAAACCCCCAAAAAATCCATTTTAATTCCAGGTTGTAAGGCAACAAAATAGGAAAAATGCCAAGGGGGGTGAATACTTTGGCAAGCCACTGTATCTAGGAGACAACAGATATGTTAAGAATGGCCCGCTGTAAGCAGACGCATGCCAACCATGTCAACAAACACCAGAGGGATACCTTCAACTTTTATGCCTGACCGTCTGTCCAGTGTGCACTGCAGCTTGGCATTGTGTGGGAACAGGAATCCCCAGTTGTGTCTGATGATCCGACAATGTGTCCCTGTTTCCCTGTGGCAAAGGATGTGTACCAAATAGCACCCTATTCCCTATAGAGTGCACTACTTATAGGGAATAGGGTGCCATTTGGGATGCTGGCATAGTGTCTAGTTTTTGCAGTGTGCTGCCTTGACAGCATCGTCTGTGGTTTAACTGCATGCCCCTCTGACCCTGATGGTTCTGACCCTGACGACTGACAGTTTAATTCAGGAGAATGGAATGGACTCCCCCCTTTGACCCATAATTGTCTGCCCAACCTGTTAGTGTGGAATGAAAACAGGCAATGCTTGTGGACTTGCTGCTTGCTAGGATGGCTTGTGTTAGCTTGAGTGCCAGTCTCTTTGTGCTATCATGTCAACTCATTGTCACTCATTGTCTTGCCAATGTAGTTGGCAAGAGTACAAACTGAAATGAGACCAGTCTAGGCTTGTGTGCTGTGGAATAGGTGGACGTTAGGAATTAATGTTAGGATCTGAAATACTTCGTTGGTCTCCGTCTTCTATTCTGTCTCTGAGGGATGTACCTCCCAGGAAGGCCTTAGTCCCCAAATCCCCTTCAACCAAGCAGAATACAGTCACCTCTTTGTCAAAATTGTGGTTGTAGCACATTAATTAAAGCAAAGCTGGTGTTGTGTTGGCTCAGGCACGTTGTTGCTACAGTGATGGACGCTGATGGTGGTAAACATAAGGCAGAGGAAGACAGATAGAAACATGACATGCCTACTGTATAACACTGCATCTCTCTTCTCTCTTCTCAGCGGCCAGCGTTTACCCAAGATGCACTGAATTGTGGTGGAGAGCCGTAAGTCTGTCTTCTATTTCCATGACGATTTGTTTCCCCAACTTGACTGTTAAAGCTACATAGAGCTTGAAAGCTTATTTGAAGTGAAGTCTCTGATTGAATGTGTCTAATTTGTATTATAAACTGGGTGGTTCAAGCCCTGAAAATTGATTGGCTGACAGCCGTGGTATACCACGGGTATGACAAAACATTTATTGTTACTGCTCTAATTATGTTGGTAACCAGTTTATAATAGCAATAAGGCACCTCAGGGGTTTGTGGTATATGGCCAATATACCACGGCTAAGGGCTGTGTCCAGGCACTCCACGTTGCGTCGTGATTAAGAACAGCCCTGATGATGTGACTGTATAATCCTCACTGATGACAGTTATTATGGTCTGTAGGTTCCAGGTCCTGTATAACTATGCTCCACGTAATGAGGATGAGTTGGAGCTCAAGGAAGGAGACGTTGTTGATGTGATGGAGAGGTGTGACGATGGCTGGTTTGTAGGTAGGTCCGACATTGTATTTATTCACTCTATTAATATCCAAAAAGATATAGACATTCATTATACAATAATTCCTTTGTAGGGGCTCTGCATGGCCGTTGCCCACCCCTGTTCCGCCAATCATTCAGAGCATTTAAAAGTTGTACTACTTAGCTGCTGCCAACAGATGGCATCCCTCACCTTGAATTGAGTCAGTAAACCTATCTGTGCTCTGTTGAAGTTGTCCTTTATTTAGATGTGTCAATAGTCACATATCCTCAGCCACTGTTCCATAAACCCAAACAAAAACATAATGCTTTACCCCACTGAAAATGCTTGCAACAAACTATATCGTTGAGATATTTCCTTTAATGCCGCTATATGTTTGTTATTTTTCAAGGTACATCCAGAAGAAGCACGTTTTTTGGAACCTTTCCTGGAAACTACGTGAAGCGGCTATAACCTTTTCATACAGAATTCTCATGATGTCCCGCAATGGTTGTATAACTCAGTGGGTGAATAACCAATATATTCAGACTGCACAAAAACGTTACCTTCAGCTATGACTAGTTATTTTCATAAAAAAATGTTTCCAGGGAGTACCCCTGAAGCACCTAGTGTTCCCAGTCATGAGAAGAGAAGTGACAATACATTTACTAATATGATGAACGGGAGAAGTTATGGACCGTGGCCTTGAAGGAATATGTTTCATGTTTGATTTAAGGGTATTTTACTCTACTAACTGTGTTGATGATGTCTCAATGTATACAGTGGATGCAACAAATGAGGTTGAAAGCAGATTTGGTCATAAACAAATGTGAGTTATTAGTGCGTAATGAGAGTTATTTACAGTGATGGGCTGCCTTATAGACTAATGGGTTTCACAATAATGAAGTAACCAAGTACCCTATTTACCATGTATTTATTTATGCATAAATATATATTTTTCTTGTTCTGGAAGTACTCTATAATTGATTATGCTAATTTACATTAGGAGAGAGTGTTGTTAACCTTTTTGGAGAGGGGTTGTCCTCTTGCTTCATACAGTTAAAGTGCACAGATCTGCGCAGGCAGAAAGAGATGAGTGTTGCTGTGTTAGTTATATACAGGCTATTAGGGTTCCTCCTAAACGCATCCGTTAATACATGGCTTTGGACAGACTGTTGCTGCTCTGGTAATGTGCACATTGTTAATGTATTCAGGCAGTTACCTCTGACTGGAGCTAATGTCTATTGACTTGTCCGGTTTTGTTTTTCTCTCCTGACATTCCTATAAGTATTAATAAAAGGAAAGAGAAGACTTTTATGTAATTGGACAAGATATTTTAAAAGATGCGATGTCTTCTTTTTACAAGTAGGGTAGCGTGATCTGTTATTTAAGATTGTTCTTTAATATATGGTCATTTTACAATATTCTTCTTATTGCGAACTGTCAAATTAGAATTATTTGAAATTATTTAAATATCATAGGGATAACTCACCTGCCACAAATCCTGTATAAAAGTGTTAAACATATTTGATGTCATTTACTTTACTGTCTGGATACATTCAGCTGACTCCAAATCAGCTTTTGATTTATGCAATAACCATTCTCCCAAATACCTGCCTTTCTGTTCTAGAACACAGGGCAACAAAATGACAGAAGAATTGGAAGTGATGATGATGATGATGAGACATGTAATAATGTCATCATGTAACTTTGTGTTCATTACTGCCTAAACGCACCATACCGTATAGTCTGTCCTGTACAGTGTATGTCCCTGTGATTAAAAAACATCCACTGCCTCGATCAGTCATTACCATGTATTTTCATTTATTGCATCATTTCAGCAATAGCAGGTATGCCGGAGCAAAACTTTGCAAACTAGCATTTGGTCAACATATGAAGTCATTGTCTAAAGAAAACCAATACCAGCAAAAAGGAGAGAAATATGAAATGTAATTGTATATAAATCAGTACATCAAAAAGTCAGTAGGAAGTATATATTGTAAGTATACACAAAAACAGTGAACTATTGATATGGTGATCAAGGATCTACATCAAGGAGGTGTGAGGAATTTGGACATGGCGTCAACTAGCTCTGGTCCAGAGCATTAGTGCGACTTGCTAACTCTGGGCCTTGAATGCTCAGCATTAGCAAACCACTCTAACACCCTGTTTGCAATACACAGTCACCACCCTTACAATACCTGGAGACCACGTTCTGCCCAAGGGACACAGGATGAGGTGTGGAGGCACAGTCACCCTCAAGGACAACATGTCTGTTTTTCTTTCTGTAATATTGTTTATCCAATCAATTCTGCAGTTTTTCTAATTGAATGTTTCCCTATGTGCTCATTGTCTGAGGATTTTATTTCTCTGGAATGTATTCTTTAATCATTTTAGTCCTGCAATCAGCCTAATATTACCATGGTAATAACATTACCACTGACACAGTTACAGTGTGTAATGTGAAAAAGGTCCACCACAATTCTCCATTACATTTCTTCTGGTATTGTGAAAATACCCTGGTTATTTCAGCTCTCAAACTATTGGCTGTTTAAATAAATGTGAAACCAGGCTCCATCCTGTAACCTACTGCAGTAGCTGCTAGCCCGATCCTCAGCCTGCCTACTATATAAACAGCCAGTAGCTGCTAGCCCGATCCTCACAGCCTGCCTACTATATAAACAGCCAGTAGCTGCTGGCCCGATCCTCAGCCTGCCTACTATATAAACAGCCAGTAGCTGCTGGCCCGATCCTCAGCCTGCCTACTATATAAACAGCCAGTAGCTGCTAGCCCGATCCTCACAGCCTGCCTACTATATAAACAGCCAGTAGCTGCTGGCCCGATCCTCAGCCTGCCTACTATATAAACAGCCAGTAGCTGCTAGCCCGATCCTCACAGCCTGCCTACTATATAAACAGCCAGTAGCTGCTGGCCCGATCCTCACGCCTGCCTACTATATAAACAGCCAGTAGCTGCTGGCCCCGATCCTCAGCCTGCCTACTATATAAACAGCCATAGCTGCTAGCCCGATCCTCACAGCCTGCCTACTATATAAACAGCCAGTAGCTGCTGGCCCGATCCTCAGCCTGCCTACTATATAAACAGCCAGTAGCTGCTGGCCCGATCCTCACAGCCTGCCTACTATATAAACAGCCAGTAGCTGCTAGCCCGATCCTCACAGCCTGCCTACTATATAAACAGCCAGTAGCTGCTGCCCGATCTGCTGGCCCGATTCTCAGCCTGCCTACTATATAAACAGCCAGTAGCTGCTGGCCCGATCCTCACAGCCTGCCTACTATAGAAACAGCCAGTAGCTGCTGGCCCGATCCTCACAGCCTGCCTACTATATAAACAGCCAGTAGCTGCTGGCCCGATCCTCACAGCCTGCCTACTATATAAACAGCCAGTAGCTGCTGGCCCGATCCTCACAGCCTGCCTACTATATAAACAGCCAGTAGCTGCTAGCCCGATCCTCACAGCCTGCCTACTATATAAACAGCCAGTAGCTGCTGGCCCGATCCTCAGCCTGCCTACTATATAAACAACCATTACCGTGTCCTCAAGTTGTCCCTGGCGCCTCCATGGCAACTGCATAAATAAAGCCCCTCGTTCAGTCAGCGTCCAAGCCAGGGCAGGCCAAGGTTTCTATAGTTATGATCCTGGACCTAGGGGCAGACAGGCTGCTGTGTTTTCTTTCAAAATGAAGGAATCAGGAGTATTCCCCTGGTGCTGTTCTAAAACAAAGCCAGGGGAGAACTCCTAAAGCCTTTTTACTTGTGCTCCCTTATTTAACGGATGATTTATAAATCACCCAGACATATCCTCCCAGCTGGTCTCTGATCAGTGGCGCTTTATCTCAGAAAGTTACTCACAGTTGTGTGAATGCATCAGAAGTGTGGTCATCCTTGGGAAGAGTGATAAGCGTAAGACTAAAGAATAGAGAGAGTGAGAAACATACTTTTGAGCTGGGGAAGGAAAGGGCTCTGTGGGTTTCCTCCAGGGCTATAAAAAGAGACTGTAATAAACGGACCCTCACTCTAACCTTAATCAAACCGTTAACCCTAACCTTTAACCCTCACCCTACCACTAACTCTAACCTTAACCAAAACCTTAACCCTAACCTTAACCAAAGCCTTTACCCTGACCTTTAACCCTGACCTTAACCCTAACTCTAACATTAACCTAATTTTAACCAATTCTGAAATTAAATATCAGTTAGCAGGTCTGGAGTGTCCATATAGCCTTTTCCTTGTGTATTGAAGGCCTGCTCAATCTCAGGGGCTCAACCAAGCTTTAAGTCCCCACCAAATAAGGGGGCAAGTTGTCAAAGCATGCAGGCCAAGTAAAACAGGTGATTTCTGACGGATTGCTTTGGCTCTCTAATGAGACAAGCACAGACTGCACGCAAACTGTAAATGGACTCTTGGACAGAATGGACTGTTGGACAGAGTGGAAAGTCAGCCTTCTACATCTGCTTAAAGCAAGGCCCAGGCAGGCACTTATGAGCCCTGTTGATACCTGGTTCTATCATGCAGCCTCTGTCCTGA